GCATATGATGTTGTAAATAGGTCAATAGGTTGGTGAAGATTTCATTTCTATTTGTCATAATACTTCAATCGTTTTTATTCAGATGATTATTATGTCGGCATACGATCGATAACAAGTTTATCTAAGTTGAGGAAGTACATTTTTACTTTTTGGGGCAAAATACTAAATTTCTAATGTATTGCGACTCAATTTCATAAAACATTTAAACTTTGAGTATTATAATGGGTTTATTATTATTAGTATTATTATGAGTATTAGTATTAGCATTAGTATATATTAATATTAGTATTAATAATAGTTGAGTATTTGCATTAGTATTAGTATTAATATTAGTATTAGTATTAGTATTAGTATTAGCATTAGTATTAGTATTAGTATGAGTATTTGTATTAGTATTAGTATTAGTATTAGTATTAGTATTAGTATTAGTATTAGTATTAGTATTAGTATTAGTATTAGTATTAGTATTAGTATTAGTATTAGTATTAGTATTAGTATTAGTATTAGTATTAGTATTAGTATTAGTATTAGTATTAGTATTAGTATTAGTATTAGTATTAGTATTTGTATTAGTATTAGTATTAGTGTTAGTAATGTGTTAGAATTGGTGTTAATATTAGTATCAATATCAGTATTAGGTGGCGGCTGCTAAAACATCGGATAAAGCAGAACACTCAAAAAGTCAAGAAGACTCGGCTTAGTATTAATATTAGTATTGAGGTATTAGCATTGGTATATGTATTGGTATTAGTATTGGTATTAATATTGATATTAGTATGAGTATTCGTACGTGTATGTGTATGAATATGAATATTATTATTAGTATTAGTATGAGTATGAGTATGAGTATGAGTATGAGTATGAGTATGAGTATGAGTATGAGTATGAGTATGAGTATGAGTATGAGTATGAGTACGAGTATGAGTCTTGGTATTAGTATTGGTATCGGTATCGGTATCGGTATTGATATTGGTATTTGTATTTGTATTGGTATTGGTATTGGTATTGGTATTGGTATTGGTATTGGTATTGGTATTGGTATTGGTATTGGTATTGGTATTGGTATTGGTATTGGGTATTAATATTGGTATTGGTATTGGTATTGGTATAAATATTAGTGTTGGTTTTAGAATTGGTATTGATATTGGTATTAATATTGATATTAGTCTTAGAGCAACTCCAATGGGAGATATCAAAATAGAGCATTAAATATTCATTTGATAATTGATATAATACTTTGATACTTTTAGAAAAAAAATGATGGTTTTTTAGTTTGATACTTCATTTAGTTCTTGCATTGGAGTTGCTCTTAGTAATGATTTTAGTATTAATATTGATTTTTGTATTAATATTAGTATTACTATTAGATGAATATTAATATAGTATTAGAGGTGACATGGACTATTATACGTCGCAATATGGAGAGTTAAGAGTAGAGGTGTCATGGACTATTATACGTAGTAATATGGAGAGTTAAGAGTATAGGTGGCATAAAAATATTCATCAAACAGGAATAGACGACTAATATTACTTACAATAATGTCTACTAGGAAGTTTTTCAGGGAATATGAATGTACATCAGAAAATTGTATATTGTGATTCAAATATACATTTGTTGTTTGTATTTTTTATTTGTATAATTATTTTTCCGTGTTAGTTTACTTGCACTTTATGCTAATTTTATTGCATACTCCACTGAATTTGTTTTTTTTTTTAATAAAGGTGATTTAGTACAAATTGTATTTATTTTTTACACTTTTGGGTGATTATGTTTCAGTAATGTGTATCACTGATTGCAATTGAACAACGAAAAATGTGCATGTTACTCGCAAAGAGAGTTATAAGCGATGTTAATGCATATGCTCTAAATCACTACTTTGAGAATTAAGTTTATGTTAAGGATACGAGTGTATTGGACGAGAAAGTTATACAATTTGGATCAAATAATGTATCTTAATTTTTATATCACAATTTTGGTATTTCATATTTTCTTTTGTCATGTACTTTGGTTATATCGGTACTTAAATCAAATGGAATTGCTATTGTTTTTAAACTTTTTAGATTATATCGTAATATATATCAACTATTCAAAGCTTTCGTTCGATTATTTTATCTAAAACATATTTTCATTTTTTATATTACTCCAATGCCGATTAACATTCTCTTTTCATTCATAAAAATGTTTGATTTACCTCATCGTCGTGTTTTAGTCATTAAAAAATTGTACTTAGAATTGATCCCGTGCATCGCACGGGTGAATTACTAGTTTTATCAATACAATAATGGCATTAAAAAGAGAAATTAACTACAATTGAAAGTCAATGATTGAGTCAACAATAATTTTCTTAAATTGGAATTATTCCATAATAAACATTTTCTTAAATGGGAATTATAACCCCCGGATAAAACCGACCCATATACAACCAAAAAAAACCCGCAATAATTTGTAACGGAAAAAATCTGATTATAACACAGTTTCCTGAAACGGAATCGGATTCCGTTAATTTCTGTAAAATAAAATCAAATAATAATATCTGTAAAAACGTAAGAACAATTCCTGGTAATAAACATCTTTCTCTTTGCAATTGTGTTTTCCCCCCCTTTTTTTAATTTACTTTTGCAATATATATATATAGGTTCAGACACAATCCAACACATCAACTGTGTGAAGTGTGTGTGTGTGTGTGTGTGTGTTTTCTTCGTGGTGGGGTCTTTACTCCAATTTCCCGCTTCTTCTTGAATTTCATCGTCTTTTTGTTTGACTCCTTTGTTTCTTTTGTTTCTGTGTCGCGTGAATATTTAGCAAGGAATATATACACACACACACACACATATTTATTTATAGAGAGAGAGTGAGAAAAGAGAGAAGAGAGAGAGAGAAGTATATTGGAACAGTAAGGACGAGAAGGAAGTGATGGATTATACACCAGAGAGGAGCAAGAATAACCAGATCGCAACATCTATTACCAAATTCGAGGTTTGATTTGCATTTTCCTCGTACAAATTGTCTGCATTTTTCTTTTTTTTAATTGTTGTTTTTTTCTCGGTAGGGTTCTGCAATTTCCTTTTCTTTTTTGTTGCTAAATTGAGGCTGAATTTGTGTTTGGCTGCAACAATTGGGTTTCAGACAAGTGGGTTTTCAGTAATTTTGTGAAATGTTGAGATTAATTAATATTTCTTACATTATATTAATTATTATTACATTTTCTGTTTTGGGGGGTTGGGTTGAAATCTGTCTTTGATTAGTGATATTTGGTCTGTGGAACAAAATTTACTGCATTCAAAAGCTTGCTCAGAATTGGGATCTTTGTTTTGAATTAAATCTGGTTTAATTGTTCTCGAATTCCTTCGCTTTCGATACACGGAAAAAGCAGATCTCGGTTTTATTGACTGCATGTTGACATCATATAGATTGTCCATTTTTAATTTTGTTTTTCGAGTTTGGCATCTCGAAAAAGTAGATCAACCCTTCGATTTTCTAAAGCATTTTCGACCCCCCGTTTTTATATTCAATCGAATTTCGCATTTGCTTTCGTGTTAGTTATATTGTCGTCTCATGATTTGTTCTTATAATTCACATGCAGGATTCGCCCGTGTTTAGTTTCCTCAACAGTCTTTCACCTATCAAACCCGTAAAATCGACACACATCACTCAGACAATCAATTCGCTTACTTTTGCTTCTCTTCCATCCGTTTTCACTTCGCCTCATGCTACTTCTCTCCGCGAATCCCGATTTCTCCAACGGTAAAAAAAAAAAAAAAAAAAAAAAAAAAACCACTCATCTTAAATATTATCGTCTTTTTATTTATACTATCTTCTTCTTTTTTTTTTCCAGACATCAGATTTCAGATCAGTCAAACGCCGAGTTTTCAACCGATGACGGGAACATGGTTTATACAGATAAAACTGAGAAATTGGATGAATATAAGGAGAATCTTGATCCAAGGGTATCTAATATTTGTGCCGAAAATTATAATGTAGTAGAATATGGTTGCTCTTCGTCTTCGACATTTATTCAAATTGCAGAAGAGTCCTCGGGTAGTGGTTTATACAGAGATGAAATGAGTTTACAAGTGATAAGCCAAACCGATCAAGCGAAAGAATCTGCACCGTCCGATTGGGAGAGTTTGATATCGGACGGCTCGGATCTATTCACTTTCGAGTCACCAAATATTGATAGAGATGCTTACAGCAAACCAGTTGATCCCTCGACAATTTTCTATACGAGTATTAAGAATGCCATACAGAATGAAGTTGTTTCTGGCAAAAGATTTGGACAGGCGAACGAACAACCTCAAAACTTGTCTACTCAGCCCGAAGAAGCAATTGATATGACGGAAAATGCCGAGGCAAGTGGCTTAATTCCTTGCGAAAAGACCGATTTTGAGGTAAAAAAAAAAAAATCAAATTTCCATTAATTTCGAAGGCTAATTTCAAGAATCTAAATTTTCAGGGTTATTTTTAGCATTATGAGTTTATTGCATTAGTACCCCTATGTTATAAATATTAGCAAAAAAACCCTATGATGGATTTTTTTAGCGCACAACCCCCTAAATAGTGCATTTTTAGGGGGTAGTTTGCTAATAAAATTGAATCATAGGATTTTATTTTTTTGCTAGTATTTATAACACGAGTAGAGGTATTTTTTGCTATTTAAAAATATATAAATCTTCACAATGTATGTATATAACTTCCGTTTTCTCTATTATCGCAGCATGTTACTGGTCTATACCGTGGTGTAAGAAGACGCTGCCTGGTTTTTGAATTGGGTGGGTCCCGCATTAAGCGTTTGGACAATAATGATTCATGTCCGGATTCTTCTAATATGCAAAACTCCGAAGGCAATACTTCCTCCAATCAGACACTAGCTCCAACAAAGCTCGTAAACGATTCTTCGTGTAATGCATTTCCTGGAATTGGCTTGCATTTAAATGCTCTCACAACAACCTCTAGAAGATTATTAGTGGGGCCCACTTCATTTTCAGACAACATGCATGCTTCGACTTCTGGGCAAGAGGACTACGCAAACGGTATACCCCCGTTGGAAGATTCTTTTCAAGAATCGGACTATATGGAAAATGTAGAGATGAATCAGACTAGTCCGAAAAAGAAGAGGTATACATATATATAATATTGATTATTTTCCTTAATAAATTTTTTTACGGTTTAGTTAACTGAATTATATTATGATCAGCCGTCGAACGGAACAAGTTGTGGAGGGTGGTGATCAATCGTGTAAGAGATGTAACTGCAAGAAATCGAAGTGTTTGAAACTGTAAGTTGTTGTTACATTTTCTTTATGTAATGTTCGATTTTTTTGGCGGTAATATATATTTTTAGTTGATTTAATATTTTCGTATTTTTTCGGATATATGTAGGTATTGTGAATGCTTTGCTGCTGGTGTGTACTGCGTGGAGCCGTGTGCGTGTATAGATTGTTTTAATAAACCTATACACGAAGATACTGTTCTTGCGACTCGTAAGCAGATTGAATCGAGAAATCCTCTTGCTTTTACTCCCAAAGTTATTAAGGGTTCTGATTCTTTATCAGAAATCGGGGTACGAAAATATTAACCTTCAGAATCGTGATTAATTTTTTATTTTTTTTTCGGGTTATATTATGCATTGCGATATTTATATTTTTTGTTTGAATATTTATTGCAGGATGACTTCAGCAAAACTCCGGCTTCTGCTCGGCATAAAAGGGGATGCAACTGCAAGAAATCCGGTTGTCTGAAAAAATACTGCGAATGTTATCAGGTTTCTAATTTTATTAATTAATTACTTAATTTAATTAAAAAAAAATTTGCATGCTGTGTATTTAGTTTGTGAGCTGATGACAAAAAAAACTGTTTATTTCTGTGAAGAGTGGAGTTGGATGCTCGATTAACTGCAGATGCGAAGGTTGTAAGAACGCGTTTGGAAGAAAAGACGGTGAGTGCGCATTTCGAGATTGAATTTCATTAATATTTCAAGATTCTTTAATTTCGAAATCCTTGATGGATTAACAAGACTCGTATTTGTTGTTGTCTACGTAGAGCCATTTTTTAAATTTAATTTGCAATATTGAATCAGGTTCTTCATGCACTGATCACGAATTCGAAGAAGATGAAACAGAAACGAACGAGATCGAGCAAAGCATGGATTCTGCTCTTCATGCAACACCTTTAAATACTAAAAGGTATATAAATAAATATTTTAAAGAAAAAAGTAATTTTGCATGATTATTCAATATTTTGATCTATATGTGAATTTTTGAATTTATATAATTTGATCCGCCAGGAAAATTATCGAGCCATTCCCATCGAAGCAAAAACCACCTCGATCATCATCATCAATCGGGTCGTCTTCCGGAAAGTCAAACTTCTTTCCACCGCCGCCCAAATTCAGTCAACATTTCGAAACGGTGAACGAAGATGAACTATTGTCCGATTTTCTTGAATTAAATTCACCGATCAAATTGTCATCCCCTAATCGGAAAAGGGTTTCGCCACCACACGGTTTAGAGGGTTTGCGGAGCAGCAGAAAGTTGATACTTCAATCGATTTCGTCTTTTCCTTCTCTCACCTCTAATAATCTTCAGTGAGTTCATTATTCTTTTTATTGCAGTGATCCATTTGTTGTAGTTATAAGGTTGTCTTAGTTTTTTTACCATTTCTTTTAATTGCATTATACAGTGTAGCTAAATGGTAATAAAACTACTTGCTTCCATTTGTTGTTACACATTTTTTTTCAAGATTCACAATTTGAATAATTATCTTAATTAATTATTTAATTAATCATCAAATTAATATTGTCTAATTAAAAGGTCCACACCTCACATGGGAATGACCAGTCATTATAAGGACAAGTCAAAGGTGAGACTATGAGAGTGGGCCCGGTCCGACCCGACCTCCGACCCGACCCGGTGTAAGAAAACATAGCAATTTAACTTTTTGTACAACTCACAAACATTTGATTTGGACAAGACACTAAGTTACAAAAAACAAAAAACAAATATTTTTGAATTTTGACCCATTTTAAAAAAAAAAAAATTATATGCAGGGCCCTATAGTATATTATCATTTACATTATTTATTTATTTAATTTTCTTTGTCTCCTATTTTCTGTAAATGGATTTTCTTGATTTTTGTGCACTAGTGATTCTTGTTGTTGGTGTTAATATGGTTGGTGTTAATGGGTGGCATGTTGATCAAATTATTGAGAACCGATGTGCCAATTATTTTCAATTATGATTAAACCACGACTTTTATATACCTGTTGTAATTGAATCAATTATTTATTGACATAAATTAATTAATCTCTAAATCCAATAATTTGCTAAGAAATGTAACAAATTCTGAAACATTAATATATTTTATATTTTATTCACTAGGCAGAGGGAAGGGTCTAGTACTAGAGGGATTCAAAATAAAATATAATTTATATTAAATATTTTATTTAATAAATATGGGGACTCAAAAAAAAAAAAATTTATTAAAGGTCCCTAATTAAGTAATTTTATCTAGAGTCCCTGCTATTTAGGGCGGACCTTGTCCACCATGATGAAGTAAAACTCACCCCAATATGAGTTTCTTGTTACGGATTATTTAATTAATTCCTTTATACTTTATATAAAATAATACAATAGTGTATTTATATATATATATATATATATATATATATATATATATATATATATATATATATCTATCTGTAAATTACAACCACCCCTGAGGTATGGTTATATATATTTGGGTAATTACAACCACTCCTCACTATAAATCTTTTTACATGTCCATCCTTACTGTTTCAAATTTTGTGGAATCTTCGAAATTATATGGAATATTATACTTTTGTACCATTTTTATCTCATTCGAACTCCACATTTTGAAGCAAAATGATCATAATATGTGTTTTTTGGCTTGTATATATCAAACTGTGGTGCATCAAAAACTGTATTTTTACACAAAACGAGTACAAACTAAAGCACATTCAACGAAATCTAGATGATTATGTTGAATTTGACACCATAAAAACGGAGATGTAAGAAAAAATCATGATTGAGGAGTAGATGTAATTATTCAAATAATAAGATTATTTTTATTTATAAATTGACCATACTTCAGGGTGACTGTAATTTACTCTATATCTTAAAAAAAAAAAACACTATATCACCTGTATAATAATATTTTCAATGATTTTTGTGAAAGACTAGAATCCGCAAATTAAGGGCGTAGGTAGGCCCTGCTTTTGTTGATGTAGCAACATTTCACATTTCTTATTTAATAGTCCAACATATGAAATACCTACTTCCCAATCATCAATTAAATAGGATCATATGTAAAAATGGTCAAACTATATGACTTATTTGCCCATCTTTTTATTTTCTATAAAACATAATTCTTAGGATCCATACAATATTGCCTTGACCCGACCCGACCCGCCCAGCCACCCAATATTATTGGAGAGAGAAAAAGAAGAGCATATTAAATTTCCAACTGCATGAATATACTTAGGTAAAGTGACATTATATATTACCAATTATATGTATGTGTAAATAAATATATTCACACACACATAAAATTTGAAATATGCTTGTAAGTTCTAAGAGGGTGTTTGGCTAAATTTATAAGTTATTTTAAGGTGTTTCGTAATATTTTTTTTAAAATTAAGCTTCTGAAAAGCTTTTAAGATAATTTATAAGCTCAGTTTATAAGCTCATAATCTAAACACTTTAAAAATTAATTTTAAAAGTAAGATCTAACTACGTATGAATTTCTAAAACTGATCATTAGATCTAAGAACTTACCACATGTTTAAAATAAACTTAACTCTGACTGATTCACATATTTATACCCTAAAATAAAAAATTGTACTTTTTTATTGAGAAAACAAATTTCAAAATTGATTTTGAACGAGTTGAGATGTACTCGAGGGTACAACATAATTTAAATATATGTACATTCACACATAATTATGACTTATGAGTGTGATTTGTTTAAAAGGCAAAGTTGAATGTGCAAATTAAGTATAGTTTATTAAGTTATGGTACTCTAAAAGAATATTGAAGGTGATGTAATAATTAGTTGATGAGGTGGAAAAAAAATTGAATCACCCACATGGCGAGTGGGACCCACGAGAATTAATGAAAACAAAATCGCATCTTTCCCATTCCATGTGCACTTCTATCATAAAATTTGAAAGCCTTTTTGATGTGGACACGACTTTTCAATGTGAATATAGTTATTAGGGTAAATTACAAATACGCCCCTGAGGTATGGTCAATTTATAAAAAAATCCCTCTTGTTTTCATAATTACATGTACCATTCTCAACTATATTTTTTTTCTTACACCTCCACCCTTATGATGTCAAATTCAACATAATCATCTAGATTTTGTGGAATGTGTTCTAGTTTGTACTCGTTTTGAGTAAAAATACAGTTTTGATGCACCACAATCTGATATATACAAGCCAAAAAACACATATTATGATCATCTTGCTTCAAAATGTAGAGTTTGAATGGGATAAAACGGGTATAAAAGTGATAATATTCCATATAATCTTGAAGATTCCACTAAATTTGAGGAGTTGTCCAAACAATATGAGAGTTTTCGTAATTTGACCATACCTCAGGATTGGTTGTAACTTGTAATTTACCCTAGTTATTATTATTAGAGCAAATTACGACCATCCCTGGGTTATGGTCAAATTATGAAAATCCCCCTCATGTTTTGGTAATTACAGTCACTTCCTCAATTATGTATTATTTTACAAAAATACCCCTTCAGAAGTAAATTTAGGAATATTAAATTGGTAAACTGAACTGAAATTTCGATACGGCAACATTTCATACCGTTTACGAACTGAATATAAGATTTGGTTTGGTAAATAACTGAATTAGATAAATTTTATGTAAACTATTTAAATGGAGGATGTTGACTGTAATTACCCAAATAAGATGAGTTTTTTTTTAATTTGACCATACCTTCGAGGATGACCGTAATTTACCCTGATAATAATAACAATGTAAGGTATGTATATATATATATATATATACAGTGGCGGATGTAGCCATGGTCTAGGGTGTGCAGTTGCACACCCTTGATTGTAACTACATAATATTGTTATACATAAATTGACAGAATCTGCAGTTGGTTGAGGTGGTAGAGATATGCCATCTAATGTTAATAGGTCACGGTTCTAACCCCAGCCTCACAATAATGATTTTTTTTTGAAAATTTAACATTTTTCCCCTTTTTTGTCTTTAAATATTTCCACAATTCACCTAAAATTTGTAAATTATAAATTTTTTGTCCACTATTTTTATAAAGTGATATTTAAAATTTTTATTTTACAATTTCGAACCCCCTTGGCAAAAATCTTGGATCCGCCACTGTGTATATATATATATATATATATATATATATATATATATATATATATATATATATATATATATATATATATATATATATTTCAGATTAGTTAAGAATAAAATAGAGAAAATACAAGTTCTATTAGATTACTTAAGAATGTACGGCCAAACTCAAGTTAGAGTGGATTTTTTTATATTTTTTTTAGTTATGCAAACACAAAGGATACTTTTGTAATTAGATCTTCCCTAAAAAGATAATCATAATTTGTTGAAGAAAAAAATGAGAATGAAATTAGAAAGGCAAGCTTTCATATAAGGGGAAGAAAGTCAAATTTCATCATCTTTGATTGAATTGGAAAGTCAAATTTTCATATTTTTCTAAGTCCCCACAACCTTTTAATATGCATCCATCAACTCAATGTTATTATTTGGTATCAAATTATTGACAAGAATCCGTGTACAAAATCATGTTATATTTTTGGTTCCAATCTAAAAAGTTTATCCATTCATTTTGTTACTATGGAATGCCGACACTAGTGGTAGGGGGGTGGGGGCCGGCAAAGGGTAAATATGTCATTTTTGATATTTAAAAATTCACTTGCTAACTTTCAAAAAATAATAAAGACGGTAAATCACATTAAACTAATCATGTGTGATAGATAAATTAAAGTCAATTGAATCTACTAGTATATGCCCAATTGAATCTACTAAAAATGAACGAATTTCATATAAAAGATAGTAAAACAATTTTCAACGTGTCACGTAGCGTAAAAGTTTTTATATATATAGAAAAATCATTAATTTATTGCATAGTGTTTTAAATAAATTTTCTACTTAAATCGAACAAACGACATATTCTTAATTCGAATCGAGCGATTCCGTATCCTAAATATACACATTAAATATTCTTCCAAAGCTTAATTGACCAAAATAACAATTAATGTAAAAAGACATAAATGCCCCTCCTAATTTCTCCCACCTTATTTAATGAGGAGCCCAATTAAAGGAAATTCGTAACGTATATTTTTTCCAAATTTATAAATAATAATCCCTTAATTAAATCAGTAAATCATAATAATCGCGTTTATACATTTAAAAATGAGTGGAAGAATGTGATATATACATACATGGATGTGTACGTATATCTCTCCACCTTTTACAGTGTGTCATTCTGAGACAGTACTCTCTGTCTCTTCCAACCAAAAAGAAAAAAAAGAACAGAAAAAAAAAACCCAACCGAGGAATAAAATGCCGATGAATCATTGAGGAGAGAGAAAGAAGCTGGAAAAAATAATGGGGTGAAAGTGTAATTTAGCGGCTGAGGTGGGTTTTTTTCATTACAGCGGCTGCTGATCAAAGGCTCTGTTTGGGTTTTCAGATTTGTAAGTTTTTAATGATTCTGTAGCTGTATGAATTTTTTTTTGTTTCTGTTCTTGCTATGAAGGTTCAAGATTGAATTTTTTTATTTGGAAGGACCATTTTGCAAATACTTGAACTTTTGTGGTTTTCTGGAAATCCCAGTTTGTTCTGCTTATATTTGAATGTTTGCTTTAAGCATCGTTGAAATCTTTGATGTTCATAGAAATGTGGGTTCTGTGTTTGTGTGTGTGTGTGTGTGTGTGTGTGTGTGTGTTTCTTGATTTGCAGTTCTCTCACTGGATTTTATTCTTCAATTAGACAAACCCTTGTTACTAAAATTGATTTTCATTGTTTTAATTTACAGTGATTTATTATCTGTATAATTCCATATATATATATCTGCTGCTTCATAAAATTATGTTCAACAAATTAGGATTTTTTTTAATAAAGTCCATTCATCATGATCAGATTCTGCAATAAAGATTCTCTTTACCCTTTTGTTTCCCTTTTCGATCCTTTTATAAAGAACCCTTTTTTTTTCGATTATTTGCAAGTAAAAGCTGTACTTAGGTTTATATCATTTCTTGATCTGGAATTACAATGTTTGATTTTTGGTGCAGATGCGAGATAGTTCTATAACCGGTGTAAAAGTCTGGGTTTTCCGGAATCCACCGGAGTTGCATTTCTGTTCTTCGCCGGAGTAATGGCAAACTTGTCGCATTCAGAATCGAGACGCTTGTATTCTTGGTGGTGGGATAGCCACAACACACCAAAGAACTCAAAATGGCTCCAAGAAAATCTCACAGGTGCTTAATTTATCCCCCCCCGTAAATCAACGTTTTAAACATCACCGTATATTTTCTTGATTTTATAACCGCAATGGAAAAATGGGTTTTTCTTTGTTTCGACAGATATGGATGGCAAAGTGAAATCGATGATCAAGCTCATAGAAGCGGATGCAGACTCATTCGCGAGGCGGGCCGAAATGTACTACAAGAAACGGCCCGAGTTGATGAAGTTTGTGGAGGAGTTCTACCGAGCTTACCGTGCGCTAGCAGAAAGGTACAACCACGCCACGGGTGAACTTCGCCAAGCCCATCGAACCATATCGGAGGCATTTCCCGAAGAAGTACCTTTCGAACTCGGTGATGACTCGCCTTCGAAAACTGAGCCTCTCACACTAGAAGTAAAAAGACGCGTGCATGCGTTGTTCGATGCTGACGAATTGCTTCAAGATTCCGATGCAGGGTCGAAAAAACGGGGTTTGAAGCAATTGCATGAAATGCTTCGAGACAAAGAAGCATTGCTTCAAAGTTCAAATTTTTCCGACAAAGGAATAAACGGGAGTAATGAAGTTGAAGGGTTAAAGAAAGCCCTTTTGGATATCGAAGCTGAAAAGGAAGATCTGCTACTCCAGTACCAACAATGTCTTGTAAAGCTTTGTAAAATCGAGGGAGAGATAAATGAGGCTCAAAAAAAATCGGGCAGAGCTGAAATCGAAGCCCAAGCTTTGAAGGAAGCTCTCATTCAATTAGAGGCTGAAAAGAATGCGGGAATGGTCAAGCAGAAAGAGTATTTGGAGAGGATATCTGATCTCGAGGCTATGGTTTCGAAATTCCAAGAAGATACGAAGGGGCTCGATAAAAAAGCGTTCGAAGCAGAAAGTGAATCTCGAACTCTAAAAGATAAAATGTCGGGATTAGAGCTCGAAAAGGAGACGGTGATGCAACAGTACAAACAGTGCCTCGAAAAAATATCGGACTTGGAGAACAAAATCTCTATAATCGAAGATGAGGCCAGCATTCTTAAGAAACGAGCCGAGAGAGCTGAAGCTGAAGTTTCTGAACTGAAAAGGGCGTTTGCTAATCTGAACAAGGAGAAAGAAGCTTCGGCCCTGCAGTACAAGTGCTGCCTGGAAATCATATCCAAGCTCGAGAAAGATATATCGAGCTTGACTAATAAAGTCTCGATTGGAAATGCGAAGCTCAAGACTACCGAAGCGAAGTGTGCGCTGTTCGAGAAGTCGAATCAATCACTGCGAGTCGAGGCGGATAATCTCGTGAAAAAGATTGCTGCGAAAGATCAAGAACTCTCAAAAAAGCAGGGCGAATTGGAGAGTCTTGAAGTGCGTTTAAAGGACGAGCATTCACGTCACGAAAAAGTCGAAGCCACTCTCGAGACTCTGCAAAATTCGCACTCTAAATCTCGAGATGATCAAATGGCTCTGACGCTTGAGCTCAAAAATGTAGTTCGAAAGCTGAAAGAAACTGAAGCTAGCAAAAATTGCTTGGAAGAAGAGATTCGGCAGGTTAGAGATGAAAACGATGGTTTGAGCCGAACGAACTCTTCTATGGAGAGTATGCAGACTGAAATCTTTAGTTTGAGGGAGATTAAGGAAAGGCTCGAAAAGGAAGTTTCGCACCACATTGGAATAACTATTTCTCTTCAAAGGGAGATTTTGAATTTGAAAGAAGAAATCGAAGGATTGAATAGGCACTATCGGGATTTAGTGGAGCAAGTGGAAGAAGCAGGTCTCGACCCCACGTGTGTTTTGATTTCGATAAAGTGCTTGCACGAGGAGAATTCGAAGCTGAGGCAGCTATGCGAAAACGGCAGAAACGAGAAAGCAATCATGTCGAAGAAGCTAGAGAATATTGAAGACGCATTGCTGGAATCGGGCCAATTTATTTACGGAGAAAAAACTGCTTTAGTTGCTGAGAAAGCTTCTATTCTGTCTCAATTACAAGCCATGACCGAGAATATGCAGAGTTTAGTGGGAAGAAACGCCGTTTTGGAGAATTCACTATCCACCGCCAAAATCGAGCTCGAAGGTTTGAGGGAAAAATCAAAGGGATTAGAGGAGATTTGCGAATTGCTCAAGAACGAAAGATCGTATCTTTTGACCGAAAGAGGCAGTTTAGTTTCGAAGCTGGAAAATGTGGAGAGAAGGCTGCAGATTTTGGAGAAAAGATTTATGGGGTTGGAAGAAAAATACACTGATTTAGAGAAAGAGAAAGAAGCCATGCACGATCAAGTCGAAAAGCTCAAGCTTTCGTTGGATGAGGAAAATCAAGAACGAACGAGCTCTCAGATTTTGAGCGAAACCCGATTGGCTGGGCTCGAAAATCAAATCCATCTCCTTCAAGAAGAGAACACGTGTAAGAAGAAGGAAACAGAGCATGAACTCGATAAAGCTTTGAAAGCGCAGTTCGAAATATCCATCTTGCATAAATTTATAAAAGATATGGAAGAGAAGAACTACTCTCTCATTGTCGAGTGTCAAAAACACGTCGAGGCATCGAAATTGGCGGAGAAACTGATATCCGAGCTGGAGGGTGAAAGTCTTGAGCAGCAAGTTGAATCTGAGCTCCTATTGGATGAAATCGAGAGGCTGAGATTGGGAATATATCAAATTTTCAGGGGATTGGAAATTGCTCCTGAGGAAAAGGTTGTCGAAAACGAACAAACTTTCTTGCATTGTATTCTTGAAAGTATTGAAGATATGAAATGTTCTCTTTCGGAATACGAGGATGAAAAGCAAGAGCTCTTGGTTGAGAACTCGGTTCTTTTAACTCTTCTCGAGCAGTTGGAGTCAAAGGGCGTGGAAATCGAGACGCGGAAAATACACTTGGAGCAAGAGTCGAAAATCATGGCTGAGAAGCTTAGTGCTGTCGAACACGAAAAAAACGAACTTGTGGAAATAAACGGGAAGTTGAAATTGGATGTGAGTGAAGGTCGTGAAGAAGCTGCTGTACTCGAGGCTGAATTCGGGAGTCTTCGTGTCAAACAAGCTGATTTGCAGAAGGCGTATAATGCATTACAGGCAGTTTACTCTAAAGTGAATCAAGAAAATACGTATTTGTTGAAGAAGTTTTCGGTTCTGAAAGATGAGAAATACGAGTTAGAGCGGTATAACGAGGATGTAATTCTTGAACTTTTAGCAACTGCTAATGTATCTGAAGTCTTGAGGAGTTTCGGGAGAGAGAAAGTCGAAGAAGTGAAATTACTTCTCGCAGATCTGAACCGACAAAATGAGGTCAATATTAGCCTCGAAAAGGAAATGAGTGTATTGATAGGGAAGCTTGAGTTGCAAAAGGCTGAAAATTTAGCCCTGAAAGATGCCGTTTTTAGCTTGGAGATCGAGATGGATGTGGTCAAAGAATGCAATGTTCGAATGAACCAGGATGTAATAAATGGTAAAGAGAGTTTGCTTCAGACACAAACAAAGCTCTTAGATGCAGAAACGAAGCTCGAAGCTGCGGAAAAATCGAACTTAACTCTGTGCACAACAATGGGCGAAATGAAGAAGGAAAACGAGAGCCTTCACATAGCGAACAAGAATTTGGAGTCAGAAATTTGCTTACTTCGTCAAGAAAGAGAAGAAAATAAAACGAGAGAGCAGAATTTGAGCAACGAATTCGAGCTATGGGAAGTTGAAGCATCGACGTTTTGCTTCGATCTTCAGGTTTCGTCCGTTAATGAAGTCTTGCTGAAAAATAAAGTGCAGGAGCTAACTGGGGTTTGTCGGATTCTCGAGGAAAAAGATGGTTCAAAGTCAACGGAGATTGACCAATTGAAAAGAAAGATTTCTTTAATGGAGAACGAAATTAGTGGATTGAAATCCCAACTGCATGCATATGCTCCAGTCGTAGCTTCACTTAGAGACGACATATCATTCATCGAGCATAATGCACTGCTTCGCTCAAAGGTTAAAGCAGCCGACAATCGAGACACCGAGGTAATAATTATTACCTAATAATAATACTCTCTTGTCTGAAGTAGAAATAGATGAACAACACACAAAATATTAAATACCTGATTTTTTTTATTTTTTTTTTGACAGTTTCTAGCAGCTAAGGTTGATCTTCCGGAAGATCAATCCCTTGCCAGTTTGCAGAAATTGCAGATGAGAGTTAAGGCAGTTGGAAAATTGATCGAAGAATCGAATAATAGCAAAAGACAAGAACCTGGTACGAGTGAGAATGACAAGCTTAAGAACCACTGTCTTATTAGAGACAAGCACGAACATAGCAGCCGAAAAACGAAGATGCTGATGAAAGATATCCCTCTCGATATAGTCGTCTCGCACAGCTCAGAACTGAAGAGAGGCAGTGTTAGAACGGACGATCATTTGATGCTCGAGATGTGGGAAACTGCTGATGTGGACGGGAAAAATCGGGACCAAACAACAATCGGAGACTCGCGTAGAATTTCGTACAAGTTGAGGCAAAGGGACAAATCGCAGTACAAATCCGACCCTCCGTCGACCGATTCGGATGTGGAGAAAGAGCTGAGTGTGGATAAGCTAGAGCTTTCGTCATCATCGTCAAGAATCAGTACTACTAAGCCGAATCAAGAATCGAACGGCGTAAAGATTCTTGAAAGGCTCTCGTCCGATGCAAAAAAGCTCGAGAATCTTCACGTAACCGTCGAAAACTTGAGAACGAAACTGGAGACGAACAAGAAGATTAGAAAGGCGAAGAGCATCGATTATGTGGCGGTCAAACAAGAGCTCCGTGAAACGGAGGATGCGGTAGTGTATTTAGTGGATCTGAACAGTCAACTCGTGAAGAATATCGAAGAGTGCCCGAAAGATGAAATGGCTTCGCCTCGAATGAGAGAGACCCTAAAAACGTGGAGAGTTAAAGTAACCGAGCAGGCGGAAAAAGGGTCCGAAAAAGTCGATCAGTTGCAAGTCGGGATACAGAAGATTCAGTGCATGTTGTTGAAAGTGGAGGATGAGAAAATGGTGAGTAAAGGGAGGAATAAGTTCTTGAGGAGCAAAAGTATTATTTTGAGGGATTTCGTTTACAATGGAAGGAAAAATAGCGGGAGGCGGAAGAAGGGCCCGAATTGTGGCGGGTGCTTTAGACAGTCGACTAGTAGGAATGAGAACGGTTCGTTTTCTTGAGGTTTGCGAGTAATTTATGACAAGAGGTCTTGTTCTTGTACTTTGTGTTAGGATTGTTTTGTTGTCTTTTAGTTTGATGGAACTGAGTTTATTCTTAGTATTGAGGAACTGGTAATGTTTGGATTTGTTCTAATTTGAATAATTTATTTAAGTTATTGTTTTTTTTTTAGCCTTTTGCCTCATTGTGTTGTGGTATTGCTTAATGATGATTGTCATATGGATGTTTTTTAGTTTATGAATGATTTTTATTTTATTTTATTATTATTTTTTTTTTTTTTTGACATTCCAGGGATTGTTACTAAAAAACGTGTGCTATTGTATACGGCATTCTGAAAAAGAATTGATGATTAAAATATTATTTCGTGCTATATAGTACATAATTTTTGGAGAAGAGTTAATGATTAAAATATTATTTCCTGCTACATATATATAATTTTTGGAGATTTTGTTACACGCTCTTTCTATATTTAAAAAATCAACTTATAATTATTTTTTGTTTCAAACAACGAACGAGAAAGAAACGAAAAGGCACAAGAACAAAACCACCCTAGATTGAATACTTTTTCAAGTAGGGTTGGGACTTGGTTGGTTTTTATCCACCAACCGATCCATTACCGACCATATTTCTAGGCGGATAATTAATTTTTAACCGACCCATTAGACCGGGTCAAAAATTTCAACCAACCCATCTATAATGGGTCGGGTGGTGGTTTCTAATATTATCAAAAGTTGGTTGACCGATAATTATCAGTCATCCAACTATATTATTAAAATTTTATTTAAAATATAAAATAAAGACCTTGTTTTCTTAAGTGGTTATTGAAAATTTGAAATTATCAAAATAAGTAGTATTTTAAATTTTAAAACCAATCAACAAAGAAAAAAAAAATAGACCTAAATCTTCCACCAGTTTTTTTACGCCCAAGCTCAAATAAAAAGCCCACAAAACTCTACTAAATTTCTTGTGCATTTTTTAAATTACTTTGAATATCATAATTATATTTTTTCGTTAAATTGTTATTATTTAATTTGAACTGAGAAATGATTATCGCACCGTGACTGACATTACGCAGAATGTGAATATTTTTACTCCAAAATTTAATTTTTTTTAAGTGTACTAGGTTGCGGGTATAAACCATCAACCGACACATTCCGGAACCAAATATTCGGTTGCCAACCATCAACCAACCCACAAAAGTTGGGTCGGCAATGGTTTTCAAATTTAAGCAAAAATGGTTTAACGGATGGTTCGATTTTAGGATGGTAATCGACCGACCCAACCCATTCTCAACCCTAATTTCAAGTATATCAATAATTATCAGAAATATTAGTACTACAACACTTCTAGATAATACAAGTGTTCAAATTGCATAATATCTTCGATACAATATTATATAATAGGGTAAATTACAAACACCCTTAATGTATGGTCAATTTATAAAAAACTTCTCTTGTTTGGATAATTACATTAACCTCCCTCGACTATGATTTTTTCTTATACCTCCACCCTTATGGTGTCAAATTCAACATAATCATCTAGATTTCGTGGAATATGCTCTAGTTTGTACGCGATTTGTGTAAAAATACAATTTTTTATATACCACAATCTGATATATACAAGAAAAAAAACGCATATTATAATCATCTTACTTCAAAATGTAGAGTTCGAATGTGATAAAATAGGTACAAAAGTGACAATATTCCATGTAATCTCGAAGATTCCACTAAATTTTAGGGGTTATTGTAATTATCCGAACAAGAGGGGGGTTTTCATAATTTGACCATACCTCAAAGGGTGGTTATAATTTAACCTATATAATATAATAAAACCTGTATGAAAATTATAACCTTTGAATCACGAATAATAAATATTAACCGACGAATATGAAACTACGGAGATTTCATTATCAGATCTGTAGTTCAATATTAGAACACAGGAATGCAAATCATCAAAACATAGCCATAACTACTAGTGTCTCCAAAAGAAATGTAGTACTCTCTTAAAATCAAAATCTTTCCTAAATAATTCAAAAAAAACAAAGTACAAATCACGTTTTACGATAGAAGATATAAACGAGCAAAAAGAAAACAAGACATGGCATAATTTAATGATGAATATGAAATTAAGCACCAACGACTTCAGTTGGCTCGGCCGCTGTCTCTTCGGCCCTCTCCACCTTCACACCAACCTCTTCAGTGTAGTCTCCATGAACCTATAGAAAAAGACACACAAGCTATACTTAACGCAAACCAAGGAACAATGAATTACAGTTACCGGTTACAACTCGATATAATACTTACAACATGAAATATGAAGTATACTTAGAAAACGGAAATTTACCTCCATCAACTTGCCAAGGTCAAACTTGGGAGCTTTCAAGATCTTGACTTTCCTGATGTAGACATTCTGCAGAGGATAGATGCTAGAAGTTGCCTTTTCAATCTCTTTCCCGATCGACTCGGGAATAAACTTCTGAACCAACTCCTTGAGATCACAAGATTGTGCTTGGGCAACCATGATCTCGTGCATCTTCCTGCGAATCTGCCAAAAAACAATGACCACAAAATAAATAAGTACCAAACACAAACTAATCGTGTATGAACTTAACCCATATATCGATTCCTAAAATCGAGTACAAACCTGACGAATCTGGCTAGACTGTGCATAACAAGTCCTCTTCTGCTGGTTAGCACGCTTCTTTGTGAAGGCAATGCAGAAGAGTCTTAGTGTATAGCTGTCAGTGGTCTTGACATCTACGTGAGCCTCGATGAGGGTTTGCCATTTCCTGACAAGTGATCTCAGTTTGTCAGTTGTGAAGTCCATGCCCTGCAGCAAGAAAATAGCAGCCGTTAAAAATCACGAAAGAATATAGGACAAAAGAATCAGCAACAAAATTAGATTAAATAATTAAAATTACCCAGAAGTTAGTGAGCACGTTCTTTCCTTGAACATCCTCGGCCCTCAAACGGATCTTCCTGAAAGCGTGGTCCTCGTCACCTTGAAGATCAGCCAACGACACCTCAAACACACGATGCTTGAGCCCTTCCGAAGCAATCTAATTACATAGCAATTGCTTTGGTTAAACAAGTGAACTTATAGAACTTATAAGCAGCTTAAAAAAATATACACTAGTTTTGAAGTAACCAATAACCCAAGCATGATCTAACCAATCTACTTTTCAAGTTAAAACAAATCACCAAAATAAATTCGACAACTAGCTCTTCATCTTAAGAATGCTATAAGTCCAGTCAATTCTCTTTCAACATGATAATTATCGTACTAATCGACTTCTTAGAGTAGATCAGCTTTTCAGACAATGGCCATAAAAAATAGAACTCCAATAGCACTAAACATCACAATCCACATAAAAAAATTTAGAACCTACGGCATTGCTATTAGAACAAAATACAACATAATACCCTCATTTATAACATAAAAGTACATACAAAGACACTGTTAATAACCAGGAAATAATAAATTACAAAATAATACTTGCCAAAGTAAGAATTTTTTTTAAACTCTAGTACCTTGGTACCCTGGGTACGAGTAACTAGGGTTTTGCCGATGTTTCTGGTGCTGAAAACTGATGGGGCCTTAACATCATACCAATCCTTTTTGGCAAACGGATCAACCCTAAACAATCAATTGAAATTACAAAAATTAATAAATAAATAAAAAACAAACTAGCAGTAGCAATTAAAATGGAAAAAAAAAATACAAATTTCTATTAAAATAGAATACTCACGCTTTCTTCTTCCCTCCTTTCTTGCCCTTGGAAATCCGCTTGTTCTTACTGCAACATCAAATCAATCGAGCAGCGGAATTATTCATAAAATTAACGTACTTAAGGATAAATCGAGCACATTTGTTAATCTATTTAAAATCAGAGAAGATAGAGAGGTGGAGAAATGTACCCGACGGCCATGATTGCGGCGGAGCTGCTGTGGATTAGACGGCGGAGAGACGGAGACAACTCTTGTAGATGAAATGCTCTCAGAGGAAAAACCCTAGTTTTGATACTTCTCAATATATTAGGGTTTGAGCGGATTTCTTGGGCTTCTTCGTGGGCTTTTCCTTTTTACTAATGGGCTATATATAAGTTTTTGTTTTGGGCCTATTTGTTATTTAAATTTGTTAGTTTATTTACTTAATAGTCCACCACAATTGATTTGACTATTTATTTTAGACCTCGTGTTTATGGGTGCAAATTAATAAATACAACAAAATTAGTTTTTAATCCTTGATTAATTAATATATTTCCCCAACAATTCATACTTGTTATGTAAAGATTTAAAAAAACTCGTGTATAATTAATATTATCGGTTCCCTCATAAAAGTTTTAATGCATTAATCAGTGCCCCCAAACTTAAAAATTTTGGCTCAGCTAGTGTTACAAACATAAGTGTGACACTCAAATGTATATCAGCCTACGCAATATATTTTTAATAAAAAGTGAAAAATCGAGACGAAATAAAGTGCCACGTACTTATAGCCACTAGAAGTGAATTGTGATGTAAAACTTCTTTTGCTTGCAATAACTCGCAAATCGCATGAAAAATGTGTAGAAATTAGAAACAAAGAAAAACACAAATCTAAGTTATAACAATTTAATTAAATGTACACCACATCTACCTAGGGTAATAAATTGTGGAGTAATGTTGTTGTATAGGGTATTGTTATAGCATTGGCTAGGTCCTTTTCAGTAGCTCAATACCCTAAATTACAACAAGATTACTACACAATTTATTAATTACCGTTGTGGAATTAATTTTAGATGTTTGATAATTTCAAAGAAAATAAATATTTTTTTATGTTTATGTATCTAACTTTTTGGTCCATTTTTTTTTTAATTATACGTTGCATAATTTGATAATTAAACATAATAATTTGTAACATACATGTACAGGTAGTATTTTTTTTTTAAAGGTGATAAAATATTATTAAAAAAAATTGATCAATTATAATTTACAGTTGTCTGCAATATTTTGCAGGGAAGCGATTAATGGGTAATTAAAAATGGATATTAGTAATTTGTGATTGAATTTGGTTTAATTATATTAAAGGTGGCTAATTATCATAGGGGCGGTGGTGGAGGATAATATTCACTCATGCATGCATGCATGCTAGGGTTTTGTGAAACCAAACAATTGTAGCTACACCTTAATTTTCCAACAACTCAAAATAAATTATTATAATTGACACTTTTGACCTTCCAACATCACAAATCCTTGTATAAAAACCTCGTCAATAAAAATCCATTTGATCAAAATAAAAAAAATAAAAATTTCTCTTGATATATCAACATGTCTCCAGTTCTCTACACTGCTTTTCTGGCAGTTATCTTTGTTCTCCAATCCCACGTTGCCACCTCGACCATCGACATTCCTCTCCTCCCCCCCATTATTGGTTTGCTCCATTCCTCAAGCTATACATATATAATGCATGCATGCAGAATTTGATGGTTTACGTAGACTTTCACTTGTTTTGTTAATGCATGTTGTGTGTGTGTGAATACAGGCGTTGGTAGTGTGTGTGAAGGAATCATATGTGGAAGAGGAATATGCGTGCCCGCGAATAATAACACTTTTGGATTTGTGTGTGAATGTGACCCTGGTTGGAGACAGGCTCTCCCTCAAGATTATGGGTTTCCTATGTTTATGCCTTGTGTCATCCCCAACTGTAATAAAATCTCTCTCTCTCTCTCTCTCTCTCTCTCTCTCTCTCTCTCTCTCTCTCTCTCTCTCTCTCTCTCTCTCTCTCTCTCTCTCTCTCTCTCTCTCTCTCTCTCTCTCTCTCATATATGAAGATTTAGGGTTTTGATCTATGTATATATAATAGGTACACTTAACTACGAATGCACAAATGGTTACCTTGCGCCACCACCACCGCCGCCACCTCCTCCACCAAGCGAAAATGAGGGAGGGAACCCATCATATATCGACCGTACGTAACCATATATATATATTCTACTTCATATACTAATTAATTTATTTTTATCATATATGTATTGTATGATCCTATATATACATTTTATCAATCTTGCTATTTACTATTTATTATAAACGTGTTTCTAGCATGCGCGTTGACCGACTGCGGAGGAGGCAGATGCTTTAGGGCAGACACTCCACTGGGGCGCACCTGCGAGTGCGAAGATGGTTTTCTCAATTTGTTCAACTCCACCGATTTTCCATGCTACAGGCAATGTAATTATTCAAAACAAATTAAAATATGCTTTCGATTAATTTAAATTCTATATAATTACAGTTAATTCAATCTTGAAATTATGTGATATTAATTAATTAGGTGCATTTGGACAAGACTGTCCGGCTCTAGGATTCAATACATCGACTTCGGTCGTGGATCCGAACCCCTTTTTAGTTCATAATTATAGCCATGGTAAGTTATTAATTAAACACGATTTTATGATCGATTTGTATGCGTTGGTCGATTCAATTATTAATTGGTTGCTAATGTCACGACCAATATCCAATTATCATCGCTAATAATTCAATAACATTCTTTTAACTATTATTTTCTTGATAATTTCAGCGGCAAGCTTGATTGAAGGAGCTGGATTAGCTTTGTCGATTGCGATTATGGCAATGTTGGCTCCGGTGTTATGGCAATACATTTAAAGACTGATTTTTCAGCTACATTTTCGCGAATGATTTGATGGTTAATTCATTGTCAATTAAATTATATGCAGTTATTGTATTCCATATGTACAATTTCTGGGATGCTGAATAAGGTTTATTGCATTTTATTTCATAATAAATATTCTATTATATGGTCAAATATGTGTTACACCGATAATTAGTATTATGTATTTTGTTGTAATATTTGTGTATTTCTAATCAAATTTTTAATTCCAATTTTCGCAAAAATACCGATACCCACCCTAATAAAAACACACACTAAAAAATCACCAAGTTCAATTTATAAATAAAAAAAAACAATTAAAAACAAATAGAATAGGAAAATAAATCTTTGCACAATTTTGTTTTACTTTTAACCCCTTCTTAAATAGGGAAATTACTATTTGCCCCAAAAGCCCAGTCCAGTTTTTGGTATTAAACCCTTTTCTTTCCGTCTGAAAATATATATATATTATAAATAATAATTTGTATACATAGTGATTACTGATTAGTGACAAACTCTCCTCCCTCAGTCGGAGAGGGAAAGAGTTGTATTGAAAAACCATAATCCGATTCCGACTAAAACTCCTATAAGGTAATAACAGTTCTATAAGGACTTTCTCTCTTCCGATTCTCTTTATTTAGCAACCCTCGTACTGCATTGTATCTGTTCGTTCCTTATTTATGCAATTTTGCGTTGCGATTTTTCAGCAAAATTCAGGCTATTGTTCTCCGTCTTCGTTGGGTGTGTTTTGATTTTAATTTTAATTTCGAATTTTTATGTTTATATTTTTTTTATCGTTAATTAATTGCTTCTCTGTGTTAAATTTGATGTAGTAAACTGTTTGCTGTGTGGGTACTTCCGGGTGTTTGTTTGTTCAATTGTTGAATTCCGACCGGCGTGTTTTTAAGTATGAATTAAAATATTAAGATTTGTGTATTTAGGGTTTTATATTTGTGTAATTTGTTGCCTTAACTGGTATAGATAGATAATGGATTGCTTGATTTTTTTTTTGATTTGTTTGATCATCTTGTTTAGTGGATGTGTACATCGGATTGATAATTACGATTATATACCGTCGTTTTTGCTATATATATGTGTGTGTGTTTTTCCTGTTTGATAAAAAAAAATCTTCGATATTTTGTAGTCAATAATTGTGAAAAGGTTCGATAAGAAAGAGAAACGAGACCATGACTATGATTATGGATTTCGAAGAAGCTACGGGCAATGCTGGAACACCTGATATTGAAGTTTCGGTTATTAAAGATCAAGGAATATGCCCCCATGTTGATAAAGGAATCGACCTGGCTAAACTTTCCGCAAAACTCCGTCGTTCGGAGTCTTTTAATTGTGAATGTTCGGATTCAAATTCGGGTTATAAATCAATTTGGATTTGTTTGGAGTGCGGTTGTTTCTCGTGTGGAGATTTTGTGATACCCGTTACACCCGGTAGCCATGCTGTTCTCCACGCGAAACGGAGTGGTCATCCGTTAGTTGTCCATTACAGAAACCATAAAAAATTGGTTTGGTGTTTCCCTTGCAACAAATTAATCACTTCCGATAGAGACAATAAAACAAGAAAGGTACTAAACAAGGTTGTCAGAATTATGAGAGGGATGTCGGTTGAAGGACTGTCCTTTAATGTCGAGGATGTCTGGTTTGGGAGTGGCAGCGCGACGAACGATGTAAAATCGGAATCTTGTTTAGGCTGTTCGGTGAGGGGTTTAGTTAATTTGGGGAACACGTGTTTCTTTAACTCGGTGGTGCAGAATCTACTCGCTATTAAAAGCTTGCGTGAGTATCTTTTCGGACTGAACGGATATTACTTGGGCCCACTAACATATGCTCTGAGGAATCTTTTCTTCGAAACGAGTGGCGAAGAAGCTAGCTTAACAAGCGCGATGAATCCCGGATATTTATTTTTCAGTCTCTGCACGAGGGCTCCGGAGTTTAATGGATATGGGCAGCACGATAGTCACGAGTTGCTCAGATGCTTGCTTGATGGTCTGTCGGCCGAAGAATTGAGAAGAAGAGATGTTGTTAAATTTCCGTCGGTGGGTCCCACATTTGTCGATGCTATTTTTGGAGGGAAAATCTCAAGCACCGTTAGTTGTTTGGAATGTGGGCACTCGTCGACTATTCACGAACCCTTTTTGGATCTTTCTTTGCCCGTTCCGACCAAGAAGCCTCTCGCCAAACAGGTCCCGCCTTTTTCCGTCTCTGACCAATCAAGTGGTGACAGGTGGACTGTACCGCAGGCGCCCGAACAATTTGCCGATCCGGACACTATGGCACTTGATATGGGTTTTACAGCTGAAGATATTTCAGCTATTCAAAAGCCGAAAAAACAGCAAGAACCAGTAGAGAGTTTCGAAGACAAGTCCCATGAAACTAATGTTTCCTTAACGGATGCTGAAATTTCAGCAATACGAGGTTTCGCGAACATAGATATTCCTCAGAATCTTGTCTCGCCGTCTTCTACTTTGAAATGTACGACCGAAAGCGACTCGGTAAATACCGTTTCGGCAAGCCCATCCGATAATTCCAAGCATCTTAATAACTCAATCGAAGATTCAAACACATCACAGATTCAAGATTCCAAGAAAGATGAAATTATGGAAGAACAAGATTCCTTAAATTTCGATGGATTCGGAGGTTTATTTGATGAGCCAAGTGAAAGTATCGACACACGCGTTAGCACTGAGTCTGATCCGGAGGAGATTGATCCAACCGCCTCTGTCGAAAGCTGTTTGGAATGTTTTACAAAGGCGGAGATTCTTGCCAAAGAAGAACACGCCTGGCAATGCGACAACTGTTCGAAAGTTTTGCAGGAACAAAGAAATCGATTAAAGAGGACACTTTCAATGTCTGAATTAGAAGAAACTACCACAGGCGGTGCTTCGGTGAAATCCGAGGATTTGAAAGTGAAGAGGGATGCACGCAAGAGAGTAGTCATAAGCAACGCTCCTTCGATCTTGACCGTCCAGTTGAATAGGTTCCGACAAGATCATGGGGGGCAATTTAGTAAATTGAACGGCCATGTCCACTTCGGAGAAACGATGGACCTCAAACCGTACATGAACCCCAGGTTTGAATCTTGCTTTTGATTATTACATTATTTGTTTATTTTATTACGGTTTTGAGGTTAATATTCGGATATTTTCTTGAAATTGGAATTCGCAGGTGCGACGAAGGAGCAAAATTGGAATACCGATTAGTAGGGGTGGTGGAGCATATAGGAAGCATGAGGGATGGGCATTATGTTGCATATGTGAGAAGCAGTGAAGATTGTGTTTGGTATCATGCAAATGATGCCTATGTGTGTGAGGCTTCTTTGGAGCATGTTTTGAGCTGCCAAGCTTATATTTTGTTCTACGAACGAGCTTGAGCAACGATGACGATTTTAATTGTTCTTTTTTTTTTTTACTTTAAATTACTTTTGTTCCCATATTGAGGTATATATAGAGAGATAAAACGATAGGGCAACACTCGGTTTTTGAAATGCAATGAGTTTCGAAATTTGTTGCTTCGTTGACATTTTTTATCGAAATATCTCAGTCTTGTGAATACATTTTCTTTCTATAAATTGTTCTTCCAAAACATGATTTTCGGAAACCAAAATCGGAAAAATAAAAAAAAACTATAGACATTTGCATTTCATCACAAAGCTATCAACGTAATTTTGTACCGTTAAACGTCTTGTAATTAGCACAACTATAGACATTGTGTTACTAATTAACATCATAAAACCAACAAATTTTCAGATAAGCCTGAAAAATGTCAGCAAATGCAGCTAAAAAAAGCTTCACATAATATTCTTGAAAAGAACAAGATCAACACACAGTTAAAATCCCTGTTGTTAGAGTGTAGTAGAGGTGGAACTCGGAGTTTCTTCTTCACAAGCAACCAAACAACCCTTAATCAGCAGACTCAAAAATAGCAAGCAGATTCAAGAACAGGTTGATTATGTCGAGGAAAAGGCAAGCTGCTGCATCAATGTACTCATCATAGTCGAAACGCTTTATCAAATTATCCGTATCATATATAATAAAACCAGAGAAAACGAGCGCCCCAATGCAGCCAATCACCTGCTCTCCCACTTTTCCCAAAGGGAATATAATCTGTTTTACGAAAAAAAAATTAAAAAAATTGAGCACGCATGTAAAATTGAAGACATATATAATTAAAAAGTCTAAATCACACAAACTCACCCTAATGATCCCAAAAGCCATGAGCACCAAGAGAGCACAGAACAAGAAAGGCCCCAGAAAGCTGAAGTCGTGGCCTCGTTTCGCAGCAACGAATGTGAACAAAGTCAAACCAACGGTCAACAGTAGTGTAAGGCCAGCAGCCATCAAGACAGCTTGACCTATAAAAAGGTAAACGTAAAACCTTAATTACCGTAATAAAAACAATCAGATGCATATTCGCAGCACAATAAACTACGTTGGTCAATCCATCACACACTAGCAAGTTAATTTCAAGAATTTGATAAACTGTGAAAATAGCAACTCTTTTGGGCTCGAATTTTATATAATTTTACTTAAAAGATTGATATCGAAGTGGGAATTTATTCAAGTTGATATACTACTTGTTGCAATTTATTGTGATCAAGTTCCTGACATTTCAAGAATTCCTCATGAAAGAGTAAAGCAGTGACTAAGAAATCATACTCCTACATCTTAAAAATCAAATTTAACGAGAAATTTTACAAACTCCGTGTAATCTGCTAATCATAATGTATCAACGAGTAAAGATGAATAACATCGACTTATACAAATCAATGGCCTCATCATCCAAAAGCTGATGGGAATCGGATGTTGATTCTATTCAAGTTATATAAAGTTAAGAATTGGTAACACCTGGATGAATTCAATTGCTGTAAACATTTTTAGATCATCATTGATAAATATGCATATAATATATATGTGTGTATATATATTATATATGTATTACCTTTACTTTGTGCGCACACAGCTCCAACCAGACATGCGATAGCTATGGTGAAGAGAAGCAAGAAGACATAGTTCCATGGATGTCGTTTGCTGAAGCAGCTCATCATCATGCACACTACATATATTAAACCAGTTAGAAAAATCATCAACTTCGTTCAGTAATTCCCGTTTCTTCGATAAAATAATAAATTAAGGTTCAGAATTATCTGCCGATTTAGACAATGCAAAACCAAAAACTTCAGGACAATAAACGAAACATAATAACACCATTTCTAATCCATTTCAAAACTCTGTAATGAATTGAAATAGACTTGTACATAAGAACAGAGGGTATTATTTGGTAAATAATACCAAATCAATTATCGCTAATCGAAATGAACAAGACAATATAAAATAACATGTCAGTAATTGAAGGATTACATAAACCAGACATACACCAAGTAATATATTATTGGAATGTTCGGAGTAACGGATCATATACGAGCAGAAATTTTCCATTTACGATCGAAATGTATCAATAGAATGTACAGCAATTTTCTCATGTACAGAACATTGAGATTTATGATTTCATATAATTTCAAAATTTAACAACAAATTATTAACAACATATGCAACAAATTTTAAAATTTCGTTTAGAAAAATCAATAAGGTACAATTCCACATACACATTTAACCACGACAGAAATTAACTGAAGAACATATTCCACCATATATATACATATATACATACATAAAAACCAACAACATCTCAAATTAAAAAAAAAAATTTTTTTTTTTTTTTAAAATGACTCACGTATAAAGGTGACAACCATGATAGGGAGCAAAACGAAGAAGCCTCTAGGCGAACGCATGAATTCTCGAACAGGAGGAGTAAGAACCATGGCGATGGCAACCCCAAATGTGAGAAGCAACTGCACGCACAGGATGGAATAAACTTTACGGATGAAACCCCACCTCATCTGCGGGTTTTCCATCATCCCCGGGTAAAGTTGCCCGCCGTTCCCCATTTCAATGTCGACGCTGTTGTTCTTCCAGAACGCCGCCATTTTCACCAACCCTAACCAACAATTTTTTTTTTTTTAATTTCCCGTGCAGTATGTGCAATTGCGTGAAATTTTCCTTCAAACGGTTGATATATACGTGTAATTGTATGTATGTATGTAGAAATGTGCGCGTATGATAGTGATGATTAGGGTTTGGTGAGAAAATTGATACAAGTTTTTGGGGGAAAAAAATGGAAGAAGACGAAGGGGAGAAAAGCCGAAAAAATAGGGATACCGTACCACGGCGTGATTATGAGTATCCACACCATAACTCTGCAACCGTCCGTATCTGGGGTTTTTTAATGGTGGGTGCTATTGCCAGAGCTAAAATCTCTTCTGCCAGATCAGCCTTTTATATTTTTTTCCCAAGCCCATTGTCCATATCATCAATTCATGGCCCAATTATTCAGGGCCCTAATTTCGAACATAATCAAATAATTGTAAATTAAGATGTAAATGCGGTGAACAATCATACCGTAAACTAAGGTGGTAAACGAGCTAAGCTGTTTGGAAAAAAACTCGAACTTTATGACGAGTCGAGTTCGAGCCTTTTTTTACTTGTTCGTGAACCTTATTTTTTTTTTATTTTTTATTTAAATAATATAATAATATACAATATTATTGAAATAATATAAAAAGAACATTTAAATATTAAAATATATATATATATATATATATATATATAAAACTAGAGTTTATTGTTTATTTTGTAATTTTTTTATTATAATCTAAATAAGTTTTAATAATTAAAAAAAATCATAAAAATATGCTTGGGCTCGAGCTCGAACTGAGTCAAAAAAAAAAAAATCGACGAGTAAAGGGGTCGGTGTAAGACATAAACAAATGCTGGGGTTGTTGGTAATTACGAATAGATGGAGGTGTTTTTTATAATTTAATTTAAGTTCAGGGGGGGCTTTATCCTAAATATTTTCTTGCATCAACAAGAGTAACATAATAAAAAATTGAAAATGATTTATTGATTTCTTTCAATTAAATTCTTTTGCAGCTGTTAATATATGGCAGTCACTTTGTCATGGCCCCACACACACACACACAGCTTTATTTGTATGTAAATCTGACCCGAATAGTTGTAGTACCATATTATATACATTGGTTATTAGTCCTTATATATATATATATATATTAATATGGGAGCTTTTAATGAGTTTTTACGAACAGAAATACTGAAGCTGGTGAAAAACCAGAAAGATCCAGACCCATCGGATCCTGAGCCGGTTCAAGACAATGACCCGTTTGTAGGCCCGACAATCGCAGGTGGTGGTGGTGGGATTCATCACATGATCATATTAGCAATTTATTTATTTATTTATTTATTTATTTATTTTTTGTATTGCAACCAATTTGAGGTTCTCGTATTAACTTGGAGCAATTGAGATATAAAAGGGTGTTTGGCTAAGCTTATAACCTGTTAAAAAGAGTTTATGAGAAGTTCAACAGTTTATAAACTATTTACAAAATGCATATACCCCCAATTTTTTATTTAAGAACATATTATGACGAAAAATAGTTTATAAGATCATTACCGAAACACTTAAAAAAATAATTCTTGAAATAAGATAGAATAACTTTTCAACTCTTAAAAGAACTTATGAGATGTAAATCTTATTATCTATTAAAAAAAAGTTTAGTCAAACGAGCGCTTAGTATAGTTAATATGACTCGATTAGGGTCTAATTGTTTATATTTGGACCGAGTTGGACTGATTGATCTGTATATATTTTAATAATAATGAGTTTGTCAATACATTAGACTAATTTCTTTCATTTCTTATTATTTTATTTTTATTGACAGCTCATTTCTTACATTTATTGTAGTTGAAATTGGTTAGTTAGAAAAAAAATGAGGAAGCGTGGGTGATCAAACAAACATAGGGACTAGGGGGAGTGACCAATAATTGCAGCTACTACTACATATGACTTGGGAATTGTATTTTAGACACTCAAAATTACTCCCTCCAAAATTACCGTCTCCGTTCCTTTATAATTGTCGTTTTTAGCTTGTGCACAAGGATTAAGAATCTCAATAAATGTTGCTTAGTTTTAGAAAAATATATGTTCTTATACTAAAATGCCCTTGCCAATAATTAATGTGAGAGAGTGTTGGAGACAGATAATAAGGGTAAAATTGGTAATTACACAATTAATGCAATGTTGAAAATGTAAAGTGACAGATAATATGGAACAAAAATAATTTTAAAAAAAGACGATTATTGTGGAGCAGAGGGAGTAGTATTTTATTTTATTTCAATTGCTAGACTAATGAATTTTATAGCTTAGTGTTATGGGCTCTAAATTACTTTTAGTTGATCTAAGCCCAATAATCTATGCCGATGTGGGCCCGATTACTTGTATTTGATATGAGAAATTGGACCGAATTGAGCCTAATGATTTGGGTCTAATTGTGTAAGATTTACTTATCGCTGCACTTAGAGCGAGTGGAGATGAACAAGACAACTGAAAAATGATAAAAAGGGAGAGATAATTCGAGAGGAATGTGAAAGTTTTATATTCTATAACTCCTTGATTCGGGCAAGATTTGATTATGACTTGGCGCGTGAAATTTCACACTTTCCATCGACGAGTTATGGAGAAGATCAGCAATCCAAACTTTCCAATGGTCTTCGTATCAACTCGCCCACGCCGCCCACCCCCCCACACACCACACATCATTTGTTTTTATCGAAGGCATACGAAGGACATATGACGAACTCTCCTCGCTCCTTAAATCGAGACCTATATAATTCAACTATGACCAGACGAGCTCCATGTGTGTAAAACGAGCTCTCGACTTTCCTTAGTTCTTCGTGGCTTGTTGAATTTTCGGCCCAATGACTCCAAGTATTGAGAGTTCGACTCAATAGGATCGAACTGTCTTTCATTAGCTCATTAGGCCTTATGGGGACCCGTTGGGCTCTTGTCCCGCTAACTGAATATGTGGAGTTCGGCCCAATAGTACAGTTCTCTCTATAAACTAAATTAATATGATCAATAATATTCGATTATAAAATCAAAATATAATATTTTCGAAAAACATAATACTATTTCTTTTTAAATTGGAAAATGTAACCGTGTGGGAAAAGCAAATAGTATATGTACATAAATTAGGACAGTCCTATAGCCTGCACAAATCAAATCACTCCCATGGGACCTTTTCCCACTTTATGAAAGAAAAATAGTTCAAAACAAAACAAATATGTCTATATCTCCTTTTTATAGGTGCACCAAGGTTCACCTATTTTCCTCTCTCTAGGTATTATGTTCAACACCAAAAATAAGCTTCTTTACATTATTTCCCAATAGTGTTTTCTTAATTTGGCCCAATTTTAATTTGACGAAAAGCTTCTATTAATTAAAGCTCTTTTTTAATTTCATTAATTGTCTCAATACTATTGAAAAGTATGACCGCCAATCGGACCATGTAAGTCGAGTTTTAGTTGGCTTAATATCACATAACATTAGGCTCGTTATTATAGGCATTTTATACTATCGAGCTTCATTACTATAGGATAAAACCTCATGTAATGGTTCAACAGCCCGACTCACTTAAAACTATACTCGGTTCAAATATAATCGACGCAATCCATCGGGCTTCAATTAGGCCCAACTCAATTGCCGGACCTAGTGAAAAGTAAGTATTACGATACATTTAAAGTCATTTCCATATTATATGAGTTTATGTAACCAATTTCATATCATAAATTTCCAAAATTACAAATTCAAGCTGATAAACATGTCACATATAGTTTGCGAGCCTTTATACGAGAGATTGAGATTATCCAATTTACATATACAACTACGGTAAAAAAAATTATAATAATAATTAAAAAACAAAGGGTACCTTCTATAGACTACTATATACCTATTTTCAAACACACACACACACACACAAACACAGTGAGTCTAAAGTGTAGGATGTCTCTTTGACTTGGACTCCACACGCTTGCACGCAGTAACTCTCATCAATAATACCATCACTTTCACACACTTCACACACTCTATTTCTCTCTCACTCTCCAATTTTCTTGATTTTTCAGACAAGCTAACTAATTTTTATAATTTCATTCTTACCATATAGTTTATAGTTTGTACACACATTTTAATTTCACTTAGTATATACACCTCAACGAACTTGTGCTAGCTATAAGTTTCTTGATTTCTGTGTTTAGTGTTTACGGCCACCACCGGCCGATGGGCGCCTCCCACCGCCACCAACACCACCGCCGCCGCCGCCAATCAACGCTCTCCTTTGCCACCGTCACCACCGTAGCTTTCCTCCTCCTCGCATCGGTCTCTGCTACTCTTGCCTTCAACCCAACTCGCCAATTCAGTAAGTAATCATACCAATATATATATATATATATATATATATATATATATATATATATATATATATATATATATATATTGTTGCAGTGTCTATAAATTTACTTTTCTGTGTGTGTGTGTGTGTGGGGTTTGAATTAAAGGTAATTATAATGGAGTGAGAAAGATGAGGGAGGAAGAGTCGGCGGAGCGAGTGACGACACGGCGGCGACTCGGAGGGCCAGGGTCGTGGCCGCCGACATGCAGATCGAAGTGCGGGTGGTGCGCGCCGTGTAAACCGGTCCACGTAGCGATTCAACCCGGTTTGAGTATGCCATTGGAGTATTACCCGGAGGCTTGGAGATGCAAGTGTGGAAATAAGCTGTTCATGCCGTAGAAAATAAAATAAATAAAAAATAAAATAAATAAATAATTTCATGATCAGTCAAAATGGCAAAATCCATGTAACTTTTTTTTGTACTATTTTCGCAATTATTATTGATTTTGCTATATACATATATATAATGGACAAATTATATTATAAAAATATATATATATATATATATATATATAGTGTAGCACAGTAATTTCGGATAACAGACTGTTCAGTATGGTTCAGACTTCAGACTTTTACAACACTTGATTTTTTTTTTAATTAATTTCCTGGATTTTAGTTAATTCCTTCAATTTTTATTTATTTATTTATTTATTATTATTATTATTATTATTATTATTATTATTATTATTATTTTATTTTAGTTTTATTTTTTAAATTTTTTTTGGGTAAATTACGGCCAAACCCACAAGGTAAGGCTAAATTTCAAAAAGACCTCTCATGTTTAGATAATTACAATATCGCCCATCAACTATGAATATTTTTACACGTTTACCCTTATAGTGTCAAATTCAACATAATCTTTTAAATTTCGTGGACTGTTAGTCAACTTGTACTCGTTTTGTCCAGTAATGCAGTTTTCGAAGAATCACAATCTATATTTAGTTATTTACAAGCTAAGAGTGTAAGACACATATTTTATGATCATCTTGTTTCAGAATATGGAGCTCGAATGTGATAAAATGGGTATTAATTGGAAAGTGTTCCACATAATCTAGAAGAATCATAATTTAACGGTTGATTATAATTACCTAAATATGAGAGGGGTTTCCGTAATTTGACCTTATGTTATGGGGTTCACCGTAATTTACCTTATTATTTTTTATTTACCATTTTGGAAAGTTGGAAGACAGATAAGAACTTTGGGAACGTAATATATTTTTTGGGTGAGAAAAAATATGATCAAGTGGGACCCACTTCTTTTGTTTGATTTGATGCAACATTATTTTTCTTGAATCCTTGCATTGATTTTTCTTAGATATAGTTATGAGTTGCATTAATGCAAGTGATTTGTAGAAGTGTCATTTTCATGTTACCATTTCATAGGGGGAAAATAATATATAGGTTTGAAAAAATAAATAAAATACATTGAATTTATTTAATATTTAAAAATAAATATTATATTTTCTCAAATAAATAATAATAATAAATATATTTTTTCATGTTTTCTGCTCCACATGCAGTACAGTGGTGATATATATATATATATATATATATATATATATATATGGAGTAAGTGCTAATTATTAGCAGATGATCCGTATATACTGTAGTGACAGATAGTCCTCTTTAAATTTGCAATAAATGTGGTAGATATTTTTGTACTGTTACCTCTCCTTTAATTTTCAGTATATACACACAAATAAATTAATTTAAAGCTGTCAAAAAATTAAATTAAAATTTCGAAATGACACTAATATCTATATTTAAATTAGCCCACATGGAGTAGGTGCAGAAAATATGTAGATGAAGTGAAGCAAGTTGGGCTTTAGTACACGTGGCAGGGCCCTTTGCTTAGACAAACCCAAATGTCAAGAGTCAGTGTGCCCATTCCAAAGACCATTATTTTTATTTTTTTATTATTTATTATTTTATTGTTTAAAAAATTAAAATTAATAAAATAAATAAGAGGCTCTACATCAATAATTAAACTTTAATTATGTGAACTGATATTTGATTTGACAGTCTTCCGTTGGCATTTGCATGACTCTTAAATTAATTGATTATTGTTTATTTGGGCTTTATGTTATGATATTGGGCTATAATTTTCGAATTCAGTCCAATAATTTTAACTAAATTAATGCTCATCAAACCCAATTTAATTTTCTTTTTTAATTATACAAGAATTCAAACAAATTTAAAGAAACGTCCATATTGTTCAACACATTACATTTATACCCCTACCTTCATTATAAATTATTTTTGTCCCATACCGGACGACACATATGATTAGCCTCTAGCTAGTGTGGGTTACGGTATACTATTCAAAGAACACGCCTGACAATGCGACAACTGTTCGAAAGGTTGCAGGAACAAAGAATCGGATTGAAGAGGACACTTTCAATGTCTGAATTAGAAGAAGAAACTACCACAAGTGGTGCTTCGGTGAAATCCGAGGATTTTAAAGTGAAGAGGGATGCAAGCAAGAGTGTAGTCATGAGAATCTCATACTCCCGAGAGAATCAAAATATCCTCTCCAAAAGGATATGTCGATAAGTTGCTTCAACCCATGGATCACTTCGGGAACAATATAATGAGGCATAGCCGTGTTCACCTTCGTTAGGTTAACACGGTATGCCAACATGTCGACTCCAGCTGGCGGAGAAAATTCAGTTGGAACTCTGTTAACGGTGCATAACCACCGTGAAACTTGTAAATAGTTGTTCTCAAATTGAAACCAGACGTACTCTTCAAGCCGCTCAGACGGGTTCGGGTCACTGTGATCAAAATCCATTTGGGTACAAATGTGAACACGTATTTCATTATTAGGCTCATGATGAGGCTGATCATCAGGTTCTTCTGGCTGAGGTTGATGTAAACATGGTGGCCGGTGGAATGTGGATATATTCTATGTAGAAACACTACCACATCTTGACCTTTACATGCGTTGACGAACCGTTAGAAGTATGCGATATATATATAGAATGTTGCTCATATATAAATTTGTGTGTTCACATTCGAACACCATGAAACGAAAAAACAAACATTATTCTCAATCTACGGTGGTTATCAACGCATCCCTTTGCCTGCAACTCAAATTAAACGATAATGCATTATCTTGTAGGAAATTCTAGAATATTGTATCTAAACTTGAACTTATATAACTTACTAGTACCTCATGAATACCACATGAAAAGTGTAAGTGAAGTTTATATCAAATTCATAAAATGATCTACAATTTTTCAGATCAAATAATTCACTAAGCATGATATAATAGATATGTATATAGAATCGAAATAATTTATAAAATGATCAAGCTTGGTCTTTTGGCGGGACAGAGAGAAAATTTAAAAGCTACAATTTTGATATTCTCTTGCCGACTTAATATTTTTTTATTGATTTAAACTATTGTTACTAATTATTTTTATTAATATATTATCCATTCGTATTTTCTATTTCTTCACCTTATTATTATTATTATTATTATTATTATTATTATTATTATTATTATTATTATTATTATTATTATTATTATTATTATTATTATTATTATTATTATTATTATTATTATTATTATTATTATTATTATAAAAAATGAAAATGAAAAAAAGAAGAAGAAGCTGGTTAGACTTTGAAAAGGGTAATTTTGTCAAGAAAAAGACTTCCCCAGTCTCTGTTTGTTTGTTACCATCTCCAGCATCTATATCCATGGTCTCCCCCCACACCTAAAATTAATTTCACAAATTTCCACTCTCTAAATTCTCTCGTCAAAACCTTCGCCGGCAAGCACTCTTCTTCCTCCTCCTCTGTGTTTCGGATCCGGTCACATTTTCCACATACATAACTGTCGCAACGGCGGTGCGAGATTAGATATATTTCGAATGGGCGGAGTGCCATCGACGCCGCGGCTAGGCGGCGGAGCGCGGCCGGAGGAGACGGCGGAGTACTTAATTACGGCGTTTGTCTCTGAGAAATCGTTTCCTCTCGTCTCCGATTACTGGCAGAAGCTTCTCGAGCTCCCGCTGGATCTCCGCTGGCCTTCTGATCGCGTTCTCGAAGCTTGTCGTCTATTCGGTCAGTGGCAGTGCATTGTCACTCTTTCGTTTAAATTTTGGCTTTTTCTCACCGTGAAATTAGCGATTCATGTTACTGTTTCCGCATTGTCGTTGGTTGCATTTGGAATTGCGTGTTAACGATCGCGTTATCTTGCCTGTGGGAATCTGACGTTGTTTTTTCAATTTGATCTTGCACTTGAAATGTAGTTCACGTAATTTTTATTTGTGGAAATTAGCTGATCAGGCGTTTCTCTTTCTCTGATTGATGTTAACATGCCAAATTAATTTGTGCTCAGAGAGTGTGTAGTTATTTTGATTTAGAATTTGGGATTTTTTCTTGATAATTGCATTCAATAACCCCTTAAGATAATTCCTTCAGAATGTTTTTAATTGTGCTGTCTAGGATCTTATCGGGAGATATACTAGTTGGGAACATCATAGTGTGTTGTGGATCTTTTCTGCAGACTTTGATGAGTGTAGAGTTCACGTGAAATTAAAACTTTTGATGTTCTTAGAATTCGGTGGTGAAATTCTATACATTATGACGTAGTTTAATGCGGTGAAAATCGCTTGATTTATCTAACGTCCCACACCATTTGTTAAAGACTCTCTGATTCAGGTAAGCAAGAGATGCGTTTATTCCACATTGAATAAAAATGATATCAACTTAATACCATTAATATGTAAACAAATGGATCTTCTGATCTAGGTTATCCTAATCACAAAATTTGACAAATGCTATATCTTAAATGAGAATCCGTAAGTAGCAAAAATGGTTGTCATATGTTTTGACGAGGGGATACTTGTCCCCTTGTATTAATTTTTTGGTTGCGATGGTGGGTAGCGGTGGGTATGTTCATCCGTCCTCACATGCTACAATAATCAAAACACCGATTTCGCGGGTAAGAGCCTGTGAATTTGTGCTACCTGTCTTGGTTTTTGACACGTGTATGGTACGAATTTCTGTTTTTTCTCAAAGTTTAGATTAGACTAAAGATCACATAACACATGCATATGCAATTAAGTTCTGCCGTGATGAACTTGTGTTGCTCACATTTATTACGTTAGGAGATGGCAATACGATATCCTTCTCAAACTCCTGCACGTGCGAATAGTTTGGGCCTTATGTGATTCTTTCTCCTTTTATTCATTCCTATTCAGCGTAATTTATTTTTTTCTTCCTTTAGTGGAAAATACTTTTTTTTTTTTTTTTCCATTATTCATGAGTTGTAGGTGAGGATGTATCTTTTGTAGCTATTTAACATTACGCTTATGCATTTCCCATGGTATAATCTTCTCAATGATAAATTGCTATCCTTGTGTATCTTTTGAAAGGAGAAATGTATCTTTTTTTGCCAATTATTTGATGTCCAAATTTTTGTAGATAAATTGGAAGAACTTGAACATCAAATATCATGATCTTTCCATACATGCTTTTAAAATATATTTTTATTTTTTTCACTGGTCTGATTCTGTTTTGGCTTATTTGCATGCAGCAATGAACAATTGTAGCACAAGACACCTTGCAAAGATTTTGGTTCACCTTGCTTGGTGCTTGCAAGAGTGTGTTTCTGATTCTTGTTTGGCATCTCCGGCTTCCTCGAAAGCACTTAATGCATTATATATAGTATCTGTTTTCCTGAAGAATCTGATTGAGAATGCTAAAAGTGACAACTTTGAAGAACTATACCTATTGCTGGATGAAACTGAGCCCATACCAAATAATTTCTCAAAAGGTTCCAATTGTTACATCATGATTTAATTGTTTTTATTTCGTTATTCGTTTAAAAAATTAACCGCCGTCCATATGATCAAATTCGTTTTTCAAATAGATTATCAGTTTCATCATATGTAGTTTTTACCAACTATATACTCCTTATTGAGTTTCTTTTCCTGACTGCTGTAATTTTACTCGACCTTGGTTCTCATTTCTTCACTTTTCAAAGCAGGTGAGAATGTTGAAAACCTCGTTATGTATAGCACGCTAAATTTTATCGCTAAAGTTGATGTTAGGTATGCGTTATTTAATGAAATATTTCCAGAAATGCATTTCTTTTTGTTTAAATGATCTGATTTATGCTGTAATTTTCTCGTGAAGCCCTGAAACATACCTTTTGCATCATGAGCTGCTTAATTTCATGGTCATTGCCATGTCAACTCAACTTCTCTCTGGGCCATCACCAGGACTGAATGATGCACACCCCTTCATTGATGCAGCTATGGATCAGGTGGGTGCAAGTAACTTCACAGCTTCAAAGCTAATTGCGATATTAATCCGCTGTTGTTTCTGCAGGAAAGTTCTTTGGTTGATTCAGTCGTGTGCAAGTTATTGCTCAATTACACCATACATCCCAGGGTTCCATTAAACAGTTCCTTTTATACCATATTATCTGAACGAAACCAGCCTGTTCTGAGGAGAGTTGGCTTTGCAGCTGGTAGGATAGTCCTGCACAAGCATGCCCATTTTATCGATTTATTCTCTTTTCTGTTATGTTTAAATTTTGATTCTTCTTATGAAAATTCTTGGAACACAATTTTAATATTTTTGTTAATTCAGTTCAATTCATTATTTGAACTTTTATTTATGTGAATTTAACTCCTCCCATGCCATTTATACAATACATCAGTCTTTATCAAGTATGGGGGTTTTACATCTGCATTTACAATTCCTGTTTATTTCTTGTCTATACTAGCTGTATTTATGCTTTTGGAATAATTCATGGTCTTCCTCACTGAGATATAATTCATACTTGCAGCTAACTTGATGCTGTTGCCCTTCAATTACTTAGTCAGCTCAACTGGTGATGCTTCAAGAAGCCCATTGGCAGAAATCAGTCTCAATGTGTTACTTATTCTTAGTCATTACCATAAATGTATTTCAGTGGAGTATGCGAAGGATAAAAGTGATAACGACAGTTCTGTGTCTCTCGCTAAGGAAGATACATATTTTTCGGAAAACCCTTTCTGCAAAGCGGTAGGAAATGTTCGGGACATTGAATGTATGATAATTGCATTACCCGACTCTGTTATTTGTTAGACTGAGATTTTATTATATTAAACAGTACTAAAGTCTCTGAATGGTCTGCTTGCAGATAATCGCATTACTACAGAGGGTGATGCAAAAAGTGATCCCCTTGCGAGGCTACCTTTCGCTTCTTTATTCGATACCCTTGGCATGTGAGTGTTTCCACTGCTTTCTTGTTAACATAGGAAATCAAATTGATGAGTAATACTGTATCGTGACGTGGTTGTCTTTTGAATCATAGTATTGAGATCTTATATGGGATTTTGTGAATTGAAATTAAGATTTTGGAACAAATCATTTTGAGAGAAAACATGTGAGCCTCAATTTCATGAATATAGGTTTCAGTTGACTAGAGCCTGGTCCTTGACGACTTCTATTGCTAGTAGTTTCCCATCAGAACTCTTTGCTATCTAGGCGTTCTTATATGATTCAGTTATTCATTTTTTTGCATCAATTGTCTTCAAATATAATTGTTCTTTTTTCTTCTGTAGCTCACTTCATGTTCTAGTAAAATAGCAGATGGCTGTGTTTTTATCGAGATTTAAATAATTCAGAACCCAGGGTCGTCTAATACGTACTAAAAGAACTCTTCTCTGCCTGCTTAGCCTTAGATCTTGAGATTGAATAAAATTTTGTTTTTAGGTTTTTAATGCATTTTTTTCTCTTTTCTTTTTTCGGGGAGTCAGGTGCTTGACTAATGAAACTTCTGTCCTGTTGCTTTATTCTCTGGTTCACGAAAATTCATCTTTTCTGGAGTACGTTTTGGTGCGGACAGATCTGGATACACTGGTATGAATCATAAAGTTTCACATTTTCAATGAAGAACTGGTTGACTTTTCTTCTGAAGAAACTATCCATCTCCTACCAAAAACTGTAACATTATATCAGATAAGAGCAAAATGGGGACAGAAGCATGATATAAAATAGTTTTAACAAGAAAATAATCTGGATGTAGTTTTAAGATTCTTTTGTTATTTTACAACTCAAGTTATCATAATATAGTGCAGCTCTTTTTTTTGTTTGAGAAATAATTACGAACTGTTGGAGTGAGAAAATCTTTGCAACTAGGGAGATCACGTGTTTCTCTGGTCATTGCAGTTATTCTTTTTGTTGCAAATCTTGGAATGACATAACTTCTTCATATGATCTACAGCTAATGCCTATGTTGGAAACTCTATATAATGCTCCGAGAAGGACGTCTAATCATATTTATATGGTGCTTATTATCTTCCTTATACTAAGCCAAGATTCGTCTTTCAATGCCAGCATTCACAAACTGGTAATGATAGATCCCATTTATCCATTTACGTTTACTTATTTGAAGGTCTTACCTGAGTTAACAATTATTTCGCAGATGCTTACTAATGTTCCATGGTATCAAGAACGGCTCCTTCATCACACTTCTCTTGGTTCCCTCATGATTATAATCTTAATTAGGACGGTTAAATATAACCTCTCTAAGTTAAGGGTAAGACTTGAGTTTTGCGTAACAGTATCTTGTTAAATGTACTCATGATATAATCATCAGAAGGCTGTGTTCAAAATCTTCTTATACAAAATTCAAATTGTTTTACGGCTGTTTTGAACAAACTAAAGATACTTTTAACATAAAGCAGAAATGACTAAAATTATAAAGTCGAGGTAAGACCAAGACCATCATGAAGTACAAAAATTGAACTGATAAGTTTCCACATATTCATTTGGTTATATAGTTTCTGAAATTTCCTTGCAACAGGACGTCTATCTTCATACGAACTGTCTTGCAACTTTGGCAAATATGGCACCACATGTCCACCGCCTTAGTGCCTACGCATCACAGCAGTTGGTTAGCCTCTTCGACATGCTTTCGCGCAAGTATGTTCTTCGTTTAGTGATTTAGTAGATGCGTTTGGTATTCGGTTCTATTTCCTATTGTTCGTCTAAAATCTCAGAGTCTTTAGGTACAATAAATTAGCCGAGGTTAGAAATGACAAGAAGAATATGCAAGATGATAATCTGAAAGAAGAAAGCCTCTCAGAGGATCCAGTAAGTTCTTTTATCCATCACTATTTTCTTGATAGCAAGTTCTCCTAGTTTAATTTGATTGTGTTAGGGTATTCATTGACCCTTTGTATTTATGTTTCAGTCAGCCGAATTGCATTTGTATACAGACTTTCTGAGATTAGTGTTGGAGATACTAAATGCTATCTTAACTTATGCATTGCCGAGGAACCCAGAGGTATTGCAAACTGCAGTTAATTTGATGTTAATCTCATGGGGCATATTGCATATTTATCTTAGTGTTACTACAATTTTCAGGTCGTGTATGCAATTATGCACCGGCAGGAGGTTTTTCTACCTTTCAAGAACCATCCTCGTTTTAATGAGCTGTTGGAGAACATATACACTGTACGTGTTCCAGCGCAGAATATTTCAATTTCAATTCCTCTAGCAAATTAATTATTTTTTATGACTTGGTATTGCACATTGAAGTTAAGTTTCTTCTACTACAGGTTTTGGATTTTTTCAACAGTCGTATGGATGCCCATAAAACGGACGACGAATGGTCGGTGGAGAAAGTGCTTCAAGTCATAATCAACAATTGCCGATCCTGGAGAGGTGAAGGCATGAAGGTATCGAAGCTAACGCTTGTGTAGTTAACTTCAGTATTTATTTTAAATATTAACATTTTATTTTTGGGTTTTGGAAAGATGTTTATGCAATTACGATTTACCTACGAACAAGAAAGTCATCCCGAGGAGTTCTTCATGCCATACGTGTGGCAGTTGATATTGTCTCGCAGGTATTCTTCTTAATAAAGATATTCACAAATCAATATTATATTTTTTAGGCTGGCTTTCGGTTATTTGATGTCGTTCCCATGTCAATACATACACAGTGGCTTCCCTTTCAATCCAAGCAGCATAAACTTATTCCCAGTACCTGTACAACAAGTAAGTGTCGTTTTCATTCAAGTTATCGATTATTCAAAATAGATACGATACAAACGTTTGAACTCCAATACAGGATATAAATGACGGGTTTGAAGATGAGTCGCCGAAAGAAGATACACTTCAAGTATAGATTCGTTCGCTGGAGTTATATAGTTCGTTCCACCTGAAGAACTCAGGTTTTTATATAATGTACATACGTATACACACAAAATAGTATAAATTTTCCTTATACGGTATATGTTTATTGCTTTATATGACGCTCGTGTATCGACACACCGTGTTCATCAACATAACCAATGTAACAAAAAGGAACAACATTTTTATTGATAGTTTACAATAGACATAAATATAAATCGTAAAATTTTCATTGCGAAATAAAAGTAGCCCAACGTTTGATGAGATTCTTCGCCTTTTCGTTTTCGATGCCAAAAATATGAAAGCAGTGACCTTCCCCTTCAATCTCCACCACCTCGACTACACCATTCCACCCGCTCTCCTTCACTTTCTCTGCGTAAACTTTCGCCCGACCCGTTAGTATATCCATTTCTGAAACACAGACCATTAATCTGGAGCATCCAAGCCCGGATAAACTCGGAGCTCCATCACAAAACGGGTTGATCAAAGGATTATCAATCCCGCCGGGTGCGGATGGGTATGCTAATAGCCACAGCTGGTAAAGTAAACTCTGATCGATATCTTCTTTAGGTTCGTTTCCGATCGGATTCGAACCCCAGAAGTACGGATGCGAGAGGATTGCGCCGGCGATTTTCACGTTTCCAGGTAACGGTTCCGAGCCGGCGCGGAGGGCGAGGTTGTGGGCTATGTTTCCGCCGGCGCTGTCGCCGCCGATGGAAATCCGGCTGAAATCGGCGTGGTTGGAAATCCATTTCTCTTTCTCGGAATTGGTTTGAGTGTCTACGGAGTGTGATGAAATCCATTTCAGAGCGTCCCAGGAATCCTCGTACGCCGCCGGGAGGGGGTGTTCGGGGGTGAGGCGGTATTCGACGGAGATTACCAGAGCTCCGGCTTCGGCGGATAAGACGGTCATGAGGCGGTGGTCGAGGTGAGAGAATGCGGATCCGATGCAGAATCCTCCGCCGTGGTAGTAGACTAAGACGGGGAGCTTTTGAGTGGGGTGGGTGGGTTTTGGGAGGTGGATTCTGGCGGACACGGTTGGGGAAATGGTGGCGTCTTTGGAGTAGACGCCGGTGGTGGTGTCCTCCGGCGACGGAGGTACGTCTGGCGAGTGGAGGAGGCGCTCGACGGTGCCGTCGGTGTAGACTTTAATGACCGGAGAGAGGTCGGTTAGCACCTCTTTGGTAGTGGTGGTGGTGTTCATGGCGGTGTGCTTTCGAGATGGAAGAGGAGTTGCTTCCGGTGGTGGAGACGGTGGCGGTGGCGGTGGCCGATTGCGAACTATTATTTATGGTGGAAAGAAAGATGAAAGACACCGAATATCACACTAAAATAATATCATGGCACAACAGTGACTGGCATTTTTTGTTTTTCTGCTTTTTAATATTTTAATATTTTTTTTGTTTGTTTAAAATAAAATAAAATAATTCAATGGTTGACCAGCCAAGACAATTATTCTCATCATTGAATTCGCTCAACCTCCAATATTTCAACTATTCACTAAATTAATATAAAATTTATTATATATATATTACACATATATACAATTAAACTTTTATAAATTAATAAAATCGGGAATAGATAAATTCTATTGATTTAGCCAAATATTAAATTATCGAGTTAATAATTAAGCACGTTACTAAGTTGGGATCGGAAATATTTATTAGTTAAACGATATTATTAATTTATCGAAAATCTACTGTGTATAATAAAAAATTTAGAAAAGAAGAAAAAACTGAATTTTAATATGGCTTGGGCCGAAAGGCTCACAATTGTGGGTTGAATGTTAATAGAGTCCATTAACATTAGTTAATTATTTAATACTGGATAATATATACAAAAGGCCCCGCCACGTCATCCATAGTGTGCGATGTCATATCCAATGATATTCTCCCACGTCATCGTAGTACAGCAAAGCATCGTAGGTGAATTACGTCATAAAAACACCGTCGGAAAATTCGGTGGAAGAAAAAAAGAAAGAGAATTTTTACAGACCCGAACCCGAACCTTCGAATTGGTGGCGATGTCCAAAATTATCCGGTACGGCGCGGCGTTCTGCGCCCTTTCCGCCGTCCTTCTGCTGAGCGTGGTGAGCCGCGTATCGGCGCTGTCGGTGACGGTGAGCGACGTCGAGTGCTTATACGAATACGTTTTCTACGAGGGCGACACCGTTTCAGGGAACTTCGTCGTCGAAGATTACCACTGGAACTCCGATCCCCCCGGCGTCGATTTCACTGTAATTCACTTGCCTTTTTCATATATACGTGCACGTATATTTATTTTTTATTTTTACCTGTGAAAATCTACAGAATTTTGTGAAATCATGGCTTAATAATTGGAAATTGGAAATTGGGAATGGGCGAATTGGAATTGTAAAAGGAACATGGTTTCTATTTGTGATTATTTAGTGGTTCATTTTTCCGGTTTTCGTATGTTCTCCTTGGGTGATTATTATTCCACATTGTGCTGTAATTGAATTTAAGGGTTGGTTTTATATTAGCTGTGTGCACTTTGAAATTGCGAATCTCAATTCTGCAGTAGCTGAAATACTAGTGTTGTTTATATTTTTTTAGAGGCAAAAGATGAACCAAATCGAAATTATGTGTTAGTCTAGAAATACTGAATCCTCATAGAGCAGGGAAGAACAACAAGAAAAAATTATAATCTAACTTGGTTCCACAGTTCCGATTCTTGCGGAAAGGAGTTTGTATTTGCTTAATAACACAATTACAGTCAGTCTCTGGCTATGTTGATGGGAATTGCATATCCTTTTATATTGTTATTTTGCGTATAAGAAATTCGATGAGATGATTTAAATGCACATTTGCTTCTTTTTTATGCAGGTGACATCTCCTGGTGGTAGTGTTGTGCATGATTTGAAGGGGTCGTCTGGTGACAAATTTGAGTTTAAGGCCACGAAACTTGGAATGTACAAATTTTGTTTCCACAACACTCATTCTACACCCGAAACAGTCTCTTTCAACATTCATACTGGCCATATTCCCACTGAACATGACCTAGCCAAGGATGGTTCGTCTTTTCTTTTCGTTTCTTTTTCCTCTAAACTACATATATTACTAACCCCAGTATCAATTGTTTGTGATCGTGACCAATATCGATAATATTTTGACCATTACAGAACATTTGGACCCTGTTAATGTCAAAATTGCTGAACTGAGGGAGGCTCTGGAATCAGTTACCCTAGAGCAGAAGTATCTGAGAGCACGTGATGCTCGTCATCGCCATAGTAAGACCCTTTTTTTCTTTTTTCTTTCTCCTTTTTTTTTTCTTTTTCCTTCTGATTCTATGTCGTAACATGCATGGATGATGGATCTCAAAGGAACATTTTCGTTATTGTTTTGTAAACTTGTTGCATATCTTGAAAACTTCTAAAAGGCTTGTAAATCTGGTGCACCACAATTTGAACTATACATCAAAATGCTGCTTTAGGCCTCATTTGGTTGGGGGGATTAGTCTTGATTAACTAAGTAGTTGCATTTTATTTGATGTTTGGTAAACCAAATAATTTTCCGGGTCGACCCAGAAATATTATTTATTGGAAGTCCCATGCTCCAATAATATAATTGGTATTTCGTTAGACTGTTTAATCTTATCTTGGGAACCAAACGAAGCCTTAGTTCATTATCTGTATAACTTACCATGCTCGAAAGTTGGAACATAGACTTCGAGATTTAACATTGTCAGCCTTCTTAACGACCGAGTGCCAAAGACATTGAAATTTATTTGCTTGTTACGTGTAACATTGGCAACTTGGTAATAAAAAAGATAAATTAGCTTATTTGTTCGTAACAAGACCGATATTGTACTAGGTTCTTGATTATCTTGCATACTGATTTTTTGAAGGGTTTTCCCGGTTTTCACAAGCCCTCCAGCTCATAAACATTTATCAAAATTCTAACCCGTGAAACGTTTAGTCAGTAGATTCAGAAAGCAATTTGCTAAATTGTTTTCGCATTATTATCATCATATAATTACTGTGAGTGTTCTTGCTGCAGCAAACGAGAGCACAAGAAGGCGCGTGATATACTACACAGTTGCAGAATACCTTCTGCTGGCTGCTGTGAGTGGGCTTCAGGTTTTCTACATTCGTCGTTTGTTCAGCAAATCCGTAGCATACGGTCGTGTTTGATTGAAGTTCTTCAACTGGGCTGGCTAGTTTACTTGTCTTTAATTAAGGTTTCTCAATGTTTTTAGCAGACAGAAGTTAGAAAGAAACATAGAGAGGTTTCGTGTAATGAAAATTTGACAAACCTTGTTCCTTAGAATCACAGTGCAGGATTACATATTTGGCAATACAGGATCTGGATAAATGTTATTAAATTATTTTATTAAAAAAATTGGGGTATTACTGACATTTCTGCAGGAAGGTACATTTTTCTCTGTTATTTTATTGAATCAAATATGAATTCCAATTTTCAAGAATTAAAATAAGGTAAATTACAGCCACCCCTGAGGTGTTCTCAAATTACGAAACACCCCCATTGTTTAGGTAATTACAACGACTTCCTGAACTATGTATTGTCTTACACTTCTACCTTTATGACCGTTAAATTTACTTGTTGAAGGAGGGAGATTTTCGTATGAAAATACATAGTTGAAGAGGTTGAGTGTAATTATTTAAATATGAGGGTTTGTTTGTAATTTAAGCTTACTTCGGGGTTACCGTAATTTAACACCTACTATTTTTTTAAGTGTTGGTACTTGGTGCATGGGTTTCTGGTATGATTTATTTTTAAAATTTGAATCGACTTTCTAGAAATTTTATGCTTTGTTATATTATATGTATTATTTTATTTTATTTTATTAATTATATTGAAATATGAAGTACAGTACAATTTGGACTTTGGATAAACTGATCCTGATGGGATGTGATTGGACCACGCCATTACGTGGTTTTGGATTTTTAGCATCTTTAGAAAAAGGTGTCACATTTATAGTGGGGTGCGAATCTAAAATAGAGAAAAGTTTTGGACCGATTAGTAAATACGAAAGGTAATCGGTTTTTGTGATTAATTTAGTTATTATCCTATAGTTTATCCAATCGGCGACTTTTATTAGCATAAACGTCCCTGCCACGTCATCAAAGTCAATTGGATAAGGACTCTTCACCCTGTCTTGTAGGACCGCGCACCCGGTTTTGTTATGCAGAGATTACAATAATACCCTCATGCCAAACTTATGAATTTGCACTTCGGTTTTTTATTTTTTTATTTTTCAATTTTTTTTTTCTATATTTTAATAATTGATAAAATACTTACTCTAACATCATATACAACCATATGTTTTAGAAAGATTTAAAGCATTGAATATTCTAAAATTGAGCTTCTATGGAATATCATGTGGAGCTATTATGTAAATTAATTTGCATCGAATATAATCTAAAATGTTAAATGGCGTTTTAATTTTGTTAATACCGTATCAACTTCGAACGTGATTTTAATCATATTTTAGTCTGATTTTGACAAAATATAAAATAAAGAAACTGTAATTCTTTGAGTAAATTTTCTAATCTAATTTGAATCATGTAGATTGAATGTTTGATGACAAAAGTATGCATGAATTAGTTACGTATTAGATAACTCACAATATTAAAATCATGTACAATGTTCAATTATTCATTCATATATTTCTCATCTTAGTTCCAATCTTGATTATATAAATTGAATTACAAAGTTGACTCAAATAACTACAAATCCCGTGTTTTGAGTTTTGCTAAACTCGAACTTCTAAGTGGTAACGTTTATCACATCCTAATAATAAAACATATATAACCTTTTCTAGAAATTTTCTATATCTTGTAAATTAATGTCCCAAAAATCTCATCAAAAAAAAAAAAAAAAAGAAGAGAGAGAGAGAGAGAGGGGGTATTTTCGTCAACTGCCCATATCCGCTCATCCACAACCATTTTTCTGTGTTATTTAAACAACTTTTTGATCACACTTTTTCAACTGAAACAAATTTCAACAAATTTCTTCAAATTGTTATTGTGCGATCGAGAAAGAAGAAAGAAAAAAATGCTGGCGATATTCGAAAAAACGGTGGCGAAAAGCCCAGATGCGCTGGTTCAGAATCAACAGGGTGAATCTCCATCGGCGATGAAAGATGGATTCTTGGCGAAACATTTCTCGTCCGTACACCCAGGCTCCGTCGTCATCAACCTTGCTTCTTCTGGTTCAATGGCTTATTCTTCTCATAAGCAGAACCCTCTTCTCCCTAGGTTTTCTCTACTCCTCTCCCTCTTTTCTCCTTAAATAAAATGGCTGATTGGGATTATTTTTTAGGTTTTTTTTTCTTTTTGTTTTTTTTTGTTCCTTGATCTGATTTATATGTTGCTGGGATATTTTTTGGGATAATGGCTTGGTTATATGCTTCTCTCTCTCTCTCTCTCTCTCTCTCTCTCTCTCTCTCTCTCTCTCTCTCTCTCTCTCTCTCTCTCTCTATCTCTCTCTCTGTGTGTGTATGTGTGAAAATGAGTTGTAGATCTTACATTTTCTTGGTTTTTATTTGCAAATATATTCAGACCTATTTTGCACTATTCTGACTCTGTTTTTTCCTCTCAATGTGTGTGTGTGTGTGTGTGTGGTTTATTTTTATTTTCTTATATCAAATTATTTTCGATTTGTATTTTTATTAAGATCATTGATCTCTAGTTCAATGGGTTACTAAAGTGTTTCTTGATTCAATCTTGTTGTGTTAGAATTCTTTCTGTCAACACTTGGACCATTAATTTCATATTTTCTGTCACTAATTTAGATCATAGAATCTGCGATTATCGTGTTCCTATCGTACAAATCTATTATTTCCGGCAAGTCGTGTATTTAAGTGGTTTAGATTTATCACTACATCGATCTCAAATTTGTTATTTCAATTATTTTTTTCGTCAGTCATTTTGCGGTGGTAGACGATATATTCTGCTTGTTCAAAGGCCACATCGAAAACGTGGCGCATCTCAAGCAGCAATACGGATTAACCAAAATAGCAAACGAGGTTATAATCGTAATCGAGGCTTACAGGACTTTGAGAGATAGAGGCCCTTATCCCGCCGATCAAGTCGTTAGAGAAATCCAAGGGAAGTTTGCGTTTATTCTGTTCGATACTACTTCCAAAGCCACCTTCATTGCCTCCGTGAGTCATTTTTTTTTTTAATATTTCGGACGAATAAAATATTTTTGTTTAGGACATGATTTTATTAATGTGTCTGAAAAATAGGATGGTGAGGGAAGCGTGCCCTTCTTTTGGGGAGCCGATGCAGAAGGGCATCTTGTTCTTTCTGATGATGGAGATGTTGTTAAGCACGGTTGTGGCAAATCGTTTGCTCCGTTTCCCAAAGGTATTTCACTTCATTAGTATGAATATATATATAATCGGAGTTCTGTGATATTGGAATATCGAAAATAGAAATAATCGGAAAAATCTCAGTCTCGTCGGACATGGTATAGGGATATTCGTATATGGGGCATTCCGGGTTTCTTTTTTATTAAGTAACAATATTCATCTCAGTTCAATATTTACGACAAAAAGAAAGCAACGGATAATGTAAGAAATAACGAAAGTTTTAAGTTTCAAGAACTTAAAATAGTCAAAAGAATATGCTCTGCAATTGGCATATCGAAAAATATAAATAATGGGGGGCACGTAGGTCTTGTTTGAGCATGGTTATGGTATATGGATTTGTTTGTATTGTGAAACTTCAATTTCCAAGTTTTTTTTTTTTATTATTTTTTTTTTAGAAATGGATTACGACAATATTCAATATTTACGACAATGAGAAGTCAGGTTTCGACCAAAACTGAAATATGATCGCACAATGTGTGTTTTTCGACTTCCTTTTATTTAATAGAGTTTGCAAATAAATAGATAATAATAATATTTTGTATTGATTAATTAAGGATGCTTCTTCACGTCATCGGGTGGGCTGAGGAGTTACGAGCATCCGGTGAACGAGCTGAAGGCAGTGCCGAGAATAGACAGCTCCGGCGAAGTGTGTGGGTTGACTTTCAAGGTTGACTCCGAGTCTCGTAAAGACAAAACCGGAATGCCTAGAGTTGGAAGTGACGCTAACTGGTCTCAACACTACTGACATCATCATCGTCATCAAGAACTAGTACTGTGTTTGTCGGTTTTTCGATCAGTACTATGATTGATTCGATTTGATTTTTAAGGTTTACATTTTGTCTGATGTTATGTTTCTCTTTACTGTAATATTTTTCTATGGCCTGCATTTACTGCATGGAGCCTTTTTAATGAGTTTTCTTAGACATATTTGAAATAAATAAATCATTGCAGAACATATTTTATAATTTTATAATTTTATATTTAATTTTTATATATTTTGAGTGACACACTACAATCACACACACATAATCAATACATTATAACCTCGATGATTTAATAACCCCGCTTAAATAATAATTTCTTTCGATCCTGAGTTGGTAAAAATGTATTAAATTATTAACACGATAATTTACGCTAAACTAATAGAAATTTGCTAGTCCCGACTGTATTAATTTATAAAGTTTTAATTGTATATGTATATGGTGAGAGCCCTAGAACAAACCCTAATCTATCGATGCAAGAAACGAACATGGATTTATAGTGGTTTCGATTTCGATTGAAGGAATGATCTACATCTACTTTGATCGCAGCTATTGGATTTTAATAATTAGATGAACGAAATTTGATTACAAGGTATCTTTCACTATCGAGAACACAACTTTCGGAGCTCTCGATATAATCAACAATGAAGATCTATATAATTGAGAAGTTATTTCCTTCACTTTATAAACGAATGAATAACGAGAACCGTTTTGCTAGTTGCCAAAACTAATTCTTCGGTTGAGCTAGACGTGGGCCCCACCAGCTCTAACTGTTTTTTCCCGGCTGCTTCTTCAACGCCGTCACTTGATCATCTTCTAGGGTTTATGCACAACCATTGGATTTTATATCGCTTTCGATTGTATCTATAGATGCTACCGTTCGTCATTGAATTCTTCTTCTTGATAGAATATGTGTTTGTAAATTTCGTCGCTTATAGCCGGTACTCTTTTCTTGTTAGACCGCACACGATTTTAAACACACCCTAATTAAATAAAAATCCTATTTTTTTTTTTGGGAAAAAAATGAATAAAAAAATTGCAGTTTCAGGTTAGTAATTCCATAATTAGCTGCACAAAAAATACCACAATTTAACCGAATTTATAAACGGAAAGAAAAATGCCGTGGAAAGTTGAAAAATCCCAAAAATACCCTCAATTTCAAATTTAAGCACCACCTATAAATAATTCCACTTCACTTTTCCCCCAAACCCACCACCTTCTAGATTCTAGGGTTTCTCTCTCTCCTCCCTCCTCCCCCTTTCTCTCTCTAACCACAGGGAGCGCTTCTTACCCCGCTCCTGCACAAGATTACATCTTTTTTCAGACATACGACGTATTAATCTACACTGATCTTTCACATTCTTCTTTTTCGTATAAGTTAATTACCTCTTTCAATTTAATTTAATCCGACTTTTTATTTTCCCCAAACTTTGAGCAGTTCTTTTCCGTTTTCATTGTTTGTATGATTCACGCACTCGTGGGTTTACCGTTTGAAGAGAAATAAAACAATGCAGATGAAGGAATTAGAGGAAATCGAAACTCCTGTATTCAAGGAGCAAGAAGGTTCCGATAGAATCCACGAATTGGAGGAATTGGAGGAGGATTACGTCGAGCAAGATTTGAAATTGGATACCGTTATTGATGTTTCCGGCAAAACATTGGATTTCCCTCTGATTAGTTCCCAAGAGCGCTCCTCCGTGGAAGAGGTTTATATGTACAAGAATGAGTTGAATTTGATCCCGAGGGCTGTTGGGAGGTTCAAGAGTTTGAAAACCCTCAAGTTTTTCTCGAACGAGGTGAATTTGTTGCCGGGGGAGTTTCGGAATTTGGTCGAGTTGGAATGCTTGCAATTGAAAGTTGCAGAAGTGGGGGTTAATGGGTTGGAGTTGAGTAAATTGAAGAATTTGAAAGAACTGGAGATTAGCAGAGTGCCTCCGAGGCCGTCGGTTTTCCCCCTTTTGAGCGAGATTGCTGGGCTCAAGTGCTTGACTAGGCTCTCCGTTTGTCATTTCTCGATAAGGTATTATATATCCTGTCCGTATGTTTGTGTTTTATGTATGAAAGTGTTGGTTTGACTTGTGCTCAAAGCTGTTTGGTTGGATTTGGTGATTGGTGTGGATTTCTTACTCGTACGGAAAAAAAGAAGTAAATAGTGTTCTATTATGAATGTGTGATGAAATTAGACGATTAGGTTCAACTGTTTTCGTATTAAGTAGATGATATCTTTGCATATAGGTTAAACAGTGGTAAGAGTGGCTTTCCTACCTAGTTACAGCTCTGGATATCTTTGCCATGATCACACCATGTCAATCAGACTCTACTTTGTGTCTGGTGCTGGTTTCGATATTCCAGGTTCATGGCTATGCAATTTCCAAATTCTGTTCGCCGTAGTTGGGTGGGAAAGTTCCAAAAGGTTTCATAAGGGTATGGTGACACGACGAATGATTATCTTCGATATTTGTTATAATACGGACTAAATGTATTTGATTTGTAATTTGAGTAATCTTAGAATCCTTTACTCTTACAAATCTTGGATATTTTGTAGATAGACAGGTAAACAAAAGCATTGCTCACAAGTTTCGTATATATCTATTTTCTAGAAGTAATCTATTTGCAATCTTTAAAACATTATATAGTGATCTTTGTGAAGCTCTTGATGTATGTGGGTTATCAATGTTAATTCCTTAATATCCATTATTAGTTATTTAATTTTCAGTGTGAATTGTGCTTGTGTTGGTGTATCAGTTTGGAGGAAGTTACAAGTTTAAGAATGTTTTCTTTCCTGCAGATTCCTTCCTCCAGAAATTGGCTACCTTAGCAGTTTGGAGTATTTGGATCTTTCTTTTAATAAGATGAGGAATTTACCAGATGAAATCACTTCGTTGAACTTATTGATATCCCTGAAAGTCACTAATAACAAATTGATTGATCTACCCGTGCGACTTTCCTGTCTGCAAAGATTGGAGAACTTGGACTTGTCAAATAACCGACTGACATCTTTGGAATGCATAGAACTTGAATCAATGCATAACCTTCGGATACTAAATCTTCAGGTATGTACATCTGATACTAACATCAATTCAAATATGCTGCTTAGGGCATCTCTATTGCTATGCAGATCGGTGTTTGATATTTTTCTTCCTATACCTATTTTGTCATTTTATCATCTAAACCTGATATGAAATTTCTTACATTTTTCTTTCTACTCATTGAAGCATAATCAACTACGGGGATGCCGAATACCTTCGTGGATATGCTGCGACTTGGAGGGGAACTTAATGGGCATATCATACGATGAATGTACTGAGATGGATGTTTATGATGGTGTTGTCCAGGAGATTAATGGTAGTTATTGTCGCTCCCCCCACCCCTTCCCACCCTTGCTCCCTCACCTCACACACCCCCACACGCACCTGAGCAAAATGTGTTTGTTTGTGCAGTGCACTTTCTTCTGTCTATGCATGTTGGTGCTCTATGTGCTAGTAGTACTTTCTTAGTGTTAATAGTTTGACATGTTGCAGGATCTCCTCTTGCACAATCGAGTCAATCAAGTGGATTATGTCATAATAATAAATGCTTAGCTGCACGAAGGGCTAAAGGATGGAAACGTAGGTATAACTTGCGAGCGAAACCTCTGCAGGAGAGATTAAATAATTGCAAAAAGTCAAAAGTTGATGCTACACTACAAAGCTCGTCAGAGAAATGTGTGACGTGCGTATCATCTGAGCATAGTGATAATGCCTCTACAAAAGGTTTATCTGTTGCTGCAGATGCAAAGCTTGAAAATGAGGATATAATTTCAGAAGGCGAGGTACATGAAAACTCACATAACTTTCCTGTAGATGAAGAGTTTAGCACATCCAAAGTGTCTGTGGATGGGATGTGCAAAGAGGTTGATACTGATGGTTCAGGGTCTAATTCAATTTTGGACTCTGTTTCTGATGCTGTTGAGGTATCGGATGTAGATGCATCTTCTCAATCTCCTAATTCTGTGCTGAAGTCAAAAAGGCATTCCGAGAAGGATCTTGATAATCCCAAACCCACCAAATCGAGGAGGCCAGCAAATGATCCATCTTATTTGTCGTGCCAATACAGTGAAAAATCCTTTTGCGGGGTAGCAGACCATCTACCTGATGGATTCTATGATGCAGGACGAGATCGACCCTTTATGCCCCTTGGAAATTATGAGAAATATGTGCCAATTAACTTTCGGGAAGTGATTCTTCTAGACCGGTATGTAAGAGCATTTTGACATTTGCAGTTCTCTTTCTTCTATAGACTTGCATCTTTTTTAGTAAAAAAATTCCTCACTGTCACATAGTATGTAAGGGATTTTGAATCAGTTTCATATTTGGTCAGTAGCTATGATTTTATTTAATATTCTTTCGACACAAATTTTCTGGTTAGGAAAAGCGATGAAGAATTAGATGCCGTTCTTCTATGTGCTCGAGCATTGTTATACCAGTTTAAGCAGATGAACAATTCAACCGACGAACAGTTAGAGGGTACTGTAGGTAGTTTGCAGATTGCTTCGTTGCTTGCTCTTTTCGTATCAGATCATTTTGGAGGAAGCGATAAAAGTGTTGTTATGCAGAGGGCTAGGAAAGCTGTTTCTGGTTCACACGAAAGGAAACCTTTTGTTTGTACGTGTTCTAGTGGGATTGACGGTACTGGTAAAGCCACTAAGCAGGGTGCGGACCCAGTTGATGATGTCGTTTTCAATGATCTCTGTGAGAAGTCTCTTCAATATATAAAGGAACGTCGTAATTCTATTATAGTCCCCATCGGGGGGCTGCAGTTTGGTGTTTGCAGGCATAGAGCATTGCTGATGAAGGTACTTATTTTCAAATAAGCATGATATTTTTCTTCTCTTGCCAGTTTTATGAATGCATCATGTTTTGTGAACTGAAATTATCATTTTTATTTGCTGTAGTATCTCTGTGATCGACTGGAGCCTCAAATCCCCTGTGAGCTTGTTCGGGGTTACTTGGACTTTTGCCCGCATGCTTGGAATGTAATTGTTATAAAGAGGGGTGACTCGTTATCCCGTGTGATAGTTGATGCATGTCATCCTCATGACATCAGGGAAGAAAGTGACCCTGAATATTTTTGCAGGTTAGCAATTAAATCCTTTTCATTTCCGTAAAATAGTTCTGTATTTTAATTAATGCATACTCAATTGTAAAAATCATCACATTGTGTCTAATGAATGTGCATACTCAATTGTAGGTATATTCCCTTGAGCCGGGTCAGTGGTCCGGTTGTGGTTGATGAGGAGGCTAGTCCAAATTGTTCATTTCCTTCTCTAAGTCGATGTGATGAAGTTGGAAAGCTTGCATCCACATCTCTAATGCACTGTAGCGTTGGACCTCTAGAAGCTGCAGTGAAGGTACTTGTCCTGAAATTTCGTTGTTCGGTTTATCTTTATTAGGCGATTAATTATGTTAATTTACATTTTCAACTTATCTCTCTTCTCATGAATTTTCTCATCGGAATACGAATATAGCTAGCTGTCTGTGCATTGTTTGGAAATTTTCAATATTTTTCTTCAAGAAATGCAGTTCAGGCACGTGGCATGTATAATTTATCCAATATGCAGGTTCGGACAATTGAAGTAAGTGAGGCTTCTGCCGATGAAGTCAGAAACTTCGAGTTTGGTTGTTTAGGTGAAATCAGGATGTTGAGTTCCTTCAAGCATTCATGCATCACGGAATATTACGGACATCAGATTTCATCGAAGTGGTCTGTGGCGGAAAATGGAAAATCCGGCGGTCGTAAAATACAGTCTTCTATATTGATGGAGTACGTAAAAGGAGGCTCCTTAAAGGTGAATATTTTCGAGCACAATAATATATTTATGCGTGTCTATTTTTTGCTTAACGGTGCCTAACTTCCGAGTCTGCTTATTGTGGACAGTCGTATATGGAGGAATTATCTAGTGCTGGTAAAAAGCATGTTGCTCCAGACTTGGCTCTATCTATTGCCAGAGATGTTGCATTCGCATTAACCGAAGTACATTCGAGGCAAGTTATTCATCGCGACATAAAAAGCGAAAACATTTTGATCGATCTCGAGGAGAAAAGGCCAGATGGCACTCCGATAGTAAAGATATGTGATTTCGATCGGGCGATTCCCCTTCATTCCTATTTACATACATGCTGCATTGCACACGTTGGAACACCTGCAACCGATACTTGTGTTGGCACTCCTAGATGGATGGCTCCTGAGGTGTTTCGTGCAATGCATGAGCCGAACATGTATGGTTTGGTAAGTCTTCTTTTTTGTATTTCAGTTACTTCTCGGTTTTTGCTTTAATTTTTTTTTACTTATTTGTTGTCTAACAAGATTGAATTCGATACATATTGAATATAGGAAGTGGATATTTGGTCGTTTGGCTGTGTGCTATTGGAATTGTTGACTTTACAAGTCCCTTACGCTGATCTTCCGGAAGCTGAAATTCACAGACTTCTGCAGGTAAATCCGAATATTTTACGTGTGTATTCCATATTAAAAAAAAATAATACGCGACGATCATAAATATATATATTCTTTAATCAATGCAGATGGGAGAACGACCAAGTCTGACGGATGAGCTGGAGGAATTGGCAGAATCCGAGAGCGAGATCGAGAATGAATCTGAAACCCTAAAATTTATTGCTAAACTGTACCGTAGGTGTACAGAAAAGAATCCAGCCAATCGACCATCGGCTGATTATATCTACAATTTGTTGATTGACCATCAAAGCTTCGTTGCACTTTCTAGAAGCTCCGATCAAGAATAGTCTTTTTTATTCAGGTACTTTCTTTTTTTCGACATAGAATCAGCATCGGGTTTTTTTGTTAGGTTAGATTCACCATCTCATCAATTATATTCTTATGAAGCACGAACAACGCTGACAAATGAGAACTCTTGATTTTTCTTCCCGGACCGGGTTAGTTTGTAACTGTGTTGTGTAATTTACATTTGTAAGTTCATTGTAATAGGAGGAGTTGGTCCTCCAAATAGGAAATACTGAATTCTTAATTTTATTTTCTTTGATTTCGATTTGATTTTCGAGTGACTCCATACACACACACACACACACACACACACACACATCTAGTGTGTAGTATGTATAACAATCCTTGTCTGAAGCTCCCCCATACTAGTATCTGATTTTCTTCTTTCTTCTTCTTCATTGGTGTCTTTTCTTTTAAACAGTAGCAGAAGAAAAGACAATAAATAATTGGTT